CTAGAACTCAGAGTTTCTTAAAAGTACTGAGTTTCCCGGCTCCAGAAGCGCTACCAGATCGCGAGTGTCAGGACGGTAGCGTGAGAGGCCCCTCGGGAGCAGGAAGAACCCCAGGAGGCAGGTCTGTAGGGTAGGCCGTGGGGAGAGTGGGGGACAGGTGCTGCCCTGAGGGCGATGGGAACGGGAATGCGGGCCAGGCCCGGGGCAGAGAGACCAGCCAGGGGCAGCCGTCAGCGCCCGTCGGCCGTGCCAGAGCCGGGCGGCGGTGGGGACTGAGGGAGCACCCGGGCGGCAGAGAGGGCAGGGCTGGCTGAGGCCGTGCGGAGGTTGGCGACCCGCAGGCAGGGCACCCAGGCAGGACTGGGACCCTGGCCGCGGAGCTGGCCTGGAGTCCCTCCGGAGAGGCCTGAGCGGCCAGGCCCGCCCGCAGTCAGGCGTGTTCTCGTGGACACTGAGTACAAAGGGGAGGGGAGGGCAAACTAAGCAAAAAAATAAAAGCTAAACAAAAGAGCGCTTCACAACAGGTGGAAGTGGCCCACGTGCACGATGACCAGAAGGTAGTGGAGAACGTCCCCCCTCCTCGTGGCTGGGCGCCTGTGCTTGGAGCACCGCTCTGCACTCGTCCAGGCGTGACGCAGCGGCGGAGCGGCGCCATGTCCGGTTGTCCGACGATGAGCAGTTGCGGTGTGTCAATCAGTGGCTGTTTATTTGCCTGAAACTGAAATGTCAAAATATCGCTTCCTGTAGAGCATTACTTAATATGTTTTTGGATGAGTTTCTGTACCAAAAAAAAAAGTTGTCTGGAAAATGGCCTAATTTTTCAAGAACCATGGTAGCGAAGGGTCCTTCACCTGGCAGCTACTGCGCAAGTGGATGAATCTGTTTCTCTTCCTTTCCACTGGTGAAACTGCAGCCTTTGTGAGATTTTGTCACATTCTGGAAAACACCCTGGATACAGGCTGGCAGCATGTTCCAGTCGCACATTAGACAGCATGGATGCACAGCGGAGCCTTCTTACTAGTGTTTGGAAAGAATAAAAATCTACAAAAACATACCGCCAGCGGCTTAGGAGGGAAGACATGTACATTGTGTAATTGTCTACAGTGGTTTGTTTTGAGAAACTTTATTATATGTTTTTAATAACTGAAATGCTGTAACACCAGTTTCAAAATTATATTTAAAACTTTACCGGAGGAGACAAGAATAACATCTGATTAAAGCCGTGTCGTTGACTGGCTTGTGATCCAAAGATTTCAACTGTAATCATCAAGTGAGTTGTAGTTGTTTCTTAGTATCTTTAAAAATCTAGCTCTTGTAACCCATATTTCAGATACACTTTATCTTCATAGCTTTATGACTCATACACCTAATTAGCACAAGTGAGGCATTAACCCGAGAAATAAGCTTCCTTTTCATATCTAACTTTTGGCAAATCGTGGGCTTAGCTTATTTATTGAAAACCTAATCAGGGTGCCTTTGGGATTGATGGCTTAATTATGGACATTGCTCTACTTGCTTTTTTTCGTTACTTACTGAAACACCATTTCTGTGGAACCCCTTCTTTGCCAAGAGGTTGACATTTTATTTAGGAAGAGGATCACTCACACTGGAGCAAGTGCGGCAAGGACGCGGAGGGGCTAGGACTGCGGCACTGCTCGTGGGAGCGCGGGGTGCCTGGGCTCGTCGGCGAACTGCCCGCAGCCTCTGCGCCCCGGCCGTGCAGCCGCCTGCCCGCTGTGGCCACCCGAGAGAAACCAGGCATTTGTCCGCGTGAGTCCTGGCACGTGGATGTGCAAGGTGCTTTGTCCCTCACAGCCAAAAAGTGGAACCCGCCCAGCTGCCCTTCGGCAGGTGTGTGGGTCAACGGAGCGTGGCCTGTCTGCGTTCCCGGGGCTGCTCAGCAGCAGCAAGGGAGGGACCCAGGTCCTGCGAAAGAAGCCAGACACACACACACAGGCGCACACCGCAGGGCCCCTGCCTCCTGGCGGGGCGGGGGGGGGCGGGCGGGCGCCGCCCAGAGCACGCAGAGCCGGTCGCCCGGCACAGCAGCAGCCCTCCGCCTCCCGGGCCAGCGGTTGGGGGCCGGCCAGGCACAGTAGGGCGCCTTCTGGGAGGACGGACGTGTTCTCCGTCTCCCTGAGGTGGTGGCTATGCTGAGTGCGAAGGTGCTGCTGCCCACGTTGGAGTGTGACCGGGGCACGGTGGGAGGGTTAGGGGGTGCCGAGTCACCACTGCGGGCCCATTCAGCGGGCACCGCTTGTGGCCGCTGACTGGCTGGAGGCTGTGGCCAGGTGCGGTGTGCGCCGCGTGAGTCCGGACCTGCAGAGTCTGGCGTCTCACTAACTGGAGAGTCCCTGGTGTGTAAGTGTTTTGTTAGGTCAGTGCCAGTATTTTGCGTGTAAAAATGTTGTGAGTTAGAGGTATAAAGCCTCATTGTTTCTGCACGCAGATTGGTGGAGGTTTGGAGAAAGAAGGGGATGATAGGACCAGGTAAGTAATTATTGTGCGGGTGTGGGGAGCTTCTGTTTTCTCTGTTCTGGGAGGGTGGGGACGGGGTGTCGGAGCCCTCGGAGGGCCGGAGAAGCGTTCACACGAGCCTGCCGGCTGTCACCAAGAGAAGAACTCTCCCAGCTCACCCGTCCTGGGAGTGGCTCGCCCTCCCTGTGACCTGGGCTTGAACTCAGGAGGTGACTCCTCCAATGAGGGACATTGATGTGCCCGAGGGAACAGGATTTGATTTCTTCTCATTAGATACAATGAAAAGAAACGAGCAAGAAGTATAGTCACAGGTTTGTTCGAATACACTTGGGCCATGTTGAGAATTTAAAATTGTTGACAACGGGGGTAGTTTCCATGAAGAGACTGCGCGATAGGCCCCTCATAAGAGGATTGAGTTTGCAGCAGTTTTTTATTCAGTTAAACTATGAGAAGGTGTTTCTTCTTGCTAAATTTTCACATTGAGCAATTACTGGAATATGTACTAACATGTTGCACATTTGTTGACATACTAGTTTATGGTGGCGTGTATTTTTATAAGCCACTTAAAATACAATTAAATGACTCAGGTCTGTTTACTGGAAAGTAATGCTTCGAGCTGTGCGCTGTGATTTATACAGTTTTCTGTATGTCAGATCTACTTGCAAATAAAGTTTTATTAAATACGTAAGATATCACACCTAAATTACTTGGGACAACATAGTGTGTCTCAGGCTCGTCCTTAGAAGTAACCGACGGCGCAGCGCGTGCAGAGCTGCCTCACTCGCAGGCACAGACGGCGGCACCGCACAGCCAGCGTCTCTCCTGCCCTCTTGGCACGGCTGTTCCCAGCCCTGGTGGGGAGAGGAGATCAAACCAATAGTTGTTTGTGTTTATTTTTAAAGTTGTAACATTGTGAAATTAATGTGAATTGAAAAATTTGTTGAATGGACATAGTTTTTAAGGAGAAGTTCTGAAGGTTTCCAAAAATACTTTGCATCATGATTGGAACGTCTCAGCAGGTGGGAATTAGCGAACCTTTATTAACGTAAAAACAAGTTTCAGGAATTTTTGATGGTTCTGCCTGGCCTTTTTTTTTTGTAAAGTAAACAAGCTTCTTTCAAATGGGAGTTGCGGTGGCTTGGCTGTTGACAATGCTTGGTCCACGCCGCTCGCTCTGGGTCTCAGATGAGCAGAATAGGGCTCCAGTTGAGACTTGAACAAACTCTGGCCCCGTGTTCCAAGGGTCCGGAATGTGCTCGAGCTCGGTGCGGCCTGGGGGAGGCTGGGGTCAGAGGGACAGGGTCGGAGCCTCTGTGGAGAACTCCAGAGGGCGGCTGGGTGGCAGAGGCGAGGGCACAGGCCAGTCCGGGAGCAAAGAGCCGGGCGCTGCAGGGGCTGTGCCTGCGTGGTGAGCGCGCGGAGCGGGTGGCGGGGCACCGGCCTGGCCAGGCTGAGCCTCCTCTGTGCTCGGCTCTGGGCCCGGGCCCGGGCCAGCTCCATCGTGCAGAGAGCTGGCAGAAAGGCTGCGACGCGGGCGTGCAGGGCGGGCGTGGTGAAGGGCGCGCGCACGGCGGTCCGGACGAGGGCGCTGCGCCCGCCTGGCCGTGCTGGCCGGCTGACCTCAGTGGACGTCCGAGCCCCCGGCGCGCGCGCTCTTGTCTGCCGAGCGGGGACTCAGTGCCTGCCTGCCGGTGTTGCGACGAGGCCTGAATGCGTTCGTAAGTGGAGGGTGCATAGGTCAGCACAAAGCACGAGATGCGCGTGGGGAAAACGCTTCCCCTTGTCGTCGGCAGCAGAGACTGGGGACATGCGCTCGAGCTCCGTCAGCTGCCACTGCCCTAGCTGCTCCCTTGCCATCATGCTCACAGCCCTGCTGCACTGCTGCCAGTCAGCGGTCGGTCCTTGGCGGAGCCCACACATGAGTGTGTTTGGATGAGGTATCGGTATGTTATAACCTTTAATAGTTTCTCGAGACGAGGTGGAGTGAGAGAGCCTTTGTCCTGAGATGTGTGTGTCCTTAAACACTTGGCCTCCCGGCTACTCAGGCGCACCTGTCCATCAGCCAGTGCAGAGGGATGTCACCTCAGCATGTGTCTGAAAGGCTCGGTGTAGCGTTGGGCCTCTTAGTGAGTCCACTAGAAAAACTGCTATTTATACTTAATAAAATCACTCAACACTTAGGAAAGTTCTCATGAGAAAACACACTAATCTGTACTCTGCTGACTTCTAGGGAACCTATTTATTTTATTTTTTGATTTGAGAGAGAGAGGAAGGTGAGAGAGAGAGAGAACACATCAATTTGTTGTTCCACTTATTTATACATTTATTGGTTGATGCTCGTATGTGCCCTGACCAGGGAGCAAACCCACAGCCTTGGTGTGTTGGGACAGTGCTCTGACCAACTGAGCTGCCTCGTCGGGGCCCTGGGAACCCATGTAAAACCCTTCGGCGTGTGCTTCCGACACCGGGGCGGCGGGGGTGCAGACAAGCACGCCAGCCTGAGCCTGTGCTCCCCTCTGCAGGGCGGACACCCGCGAGTCGAGCTTACCCTCTCGGAGCTCCAAGATATGGCGGCCAGGCAGCAGCAGCAGATCGAAAGTCAACAGCAGGCGTTGGTCGCCAAGGTGAGTGTTAAAAGCAGAGTGGACAAACATTCAAAAAGCGTGTTCCTTTGCTGTTACTTTAGATTGGGGTCAGCACATTTTGGGGCCACGCTCCTCAGTAGGACCAGGCCACGGGAAGCGCCGCGTGACCATTGCCGCCTCCGTGGCAGTAGGTGGACAGCATGCTGCCGCCTCCTGCAGCGGGGCGGGCGGCGCAAGAGCAGCTCCCCTTGGTCTGCTTGCTTATACGTGAGCGCGCCCCGTACACAAACACACACCCCCCCCCCCCCAACCCCCACCCTACCCACGGGAAGGGGCAGGCCTTCCCCCCGCGTAGGCAGGACTTGCAAAAAGCATGTTTTCCCTGGCATTGCCTGTTCCCTGTGGGTGCTCCCGGCTGGTGGTGTCCGCTGCTCCGTGTCCTAGAGGAAGCCGGCGACCCCCGCCAAAGGTGCCGGCCGTGGGCCCCATGGCAGTGACCCTGGGTCTGCAGGCTTCCCCTGCTGCCACTCGGCCGGAGCTTGTCTGGTTTATTAAGGGGGGGCGTAAGTTAGCACTCGCTACGTAGACGAGTTCTGTATTTGTTGTTGACTCTCTGTAATAGGAGGACTTAAAATTTTCCTAAATGGTGGTTTAGTCACGGATTAAAAATAAAAAATCAGACCGTCATCCATGCCTTCTGGAAGTGATTTCGTGTTGTAATGATCTTAAATGTCCTCAAGCTGCTGTAAAGAGAACGTGTAAAAGCATTACTGCCTAGGCTCTAACTGATTTCTCTGGAGAGAGATTTTTTTAAATTTCTTTTTTTATTTTTCCACTACAGTTGACATACAGTATTATATTAGTTTCTGGTGCACAGTATAATGGTTTGACATTTATATAACCTACAAAGTGATCTCCCTGGAAAGGGTGTGACCCACCTGCCACCGTAGTTATTGCGATATTATTGACTGTGTCCCTGTGGTGGACTTCACATCCCTGTGGCTCTTTTGATAACTGCCAGTTTGTGCTTCTTAACCCCTCCCCTTTCCCCCCACACCCAGCCCCCTCTTCCATGGCACCTTCAGTCTGTTCTCTGTATCTGTGAGTTTGTCAAATTTGTTTCTTTATTTTTTAGATTCTACATATAAGTAAAATCTGTAGCTTTTTTAAATAACAAAGTGGCCAATCCAGCTGTTTTCATTTATTGAATGCCTGTATAATTCATTGTGTTATCCACTTTTATGTAAATAATAGGTTAAGTTGGACTTGTTTTTAAAAGTTGTCTTGTAAAGTTTATTGGATTTATAAGAATAAAAAACAGCCCGGGCTGGTGTGGCTCAATGGGTTGAGTGCTGGCCTGTGAACTGAAAGGTCACTGGTTCGACTCCCAGTCAGGGCACAGGCCTGGGTTGTGGACCAGGTCCCCATTTGGGGGGCTTATGAGAGGCAACCAGTTAATGTTTCTCTCACACATCAATGTTTCTCTTCCTCTGTTTCTCCCTTCCTCTCCCTCTAAAAAAATAAAATCTTTTTTTTTAAATGAAAAACTATTAGAAGTTTAATCAGAAAGTATTTCATTCTGTTAATAAGATTTCTAAGATGAAATGTACATAGTACTATGTAATCATAACATTTTCTAATTCTTTTTATTTCCTTTCTAAAAAATTGATCCAAAGGTATTACTGTTAAGAAAATTCTTAGGTGTTTTCATGGTGTGAACCACAAGTTCCCACTGGCTATGCCCGTGCCCTCCTGTGGGGCAGCGTGTGGGCACTGCACAGTCACACAGCTGTGTTCTGTGTGTGCACATGGGACCATGAGGGTTTGAAGTGGACCGTTATCCTTAAGGTTTGCATTCATGTTGGTGGGGAAAGCTCTCGAAGGATATTGCATGTATTTTTACTTTAGGATTGTCCTGTTCTTGTTTGACTATAAAACGTTCCATTAGTTGGGAAGAAGCTAATCCTGAAGAACACAAACACTTCCTGGACTGCTGGGTGTCACTTGGCACAGTAGAGGTTCACCTCCTTATTGGTCACCCTGTCCCTTTTCAGCGAAGATCCCCAGCTGGTCAGCGCTCACTTCCTTCCAGTTGAACAAGGGGCGGCAGCAGGACACAAGTCTGAGGGCAGGAGCGGGCGGGGGCTCCACAGGCAGGCTGTGGGGAGCTCAGGCCTGCCCGCCTCCCGCTGCGGGGCTCCTGCGGGAGCGGGCGCAGCGCCGCCGGCTCAGGCCTGCGTGCAGAGGAGAACCCACTTGTGAGGGCCCCAGACGCCCCCCACCTCACACCTCTTCATGCACAGTCCTTGCTGTGCGGCGTGACCTGGCATGTGCATGGTCTGGTGCGTGCGTGACTCCACGTGCAGTTCCTTCCCATTAAGGTGGGTGGTGCTGTGGGATCCACTCCAGTTGTCTAGAGTCTAAAGAAACACGCGCACTTCAGTTTTCTTTTTCTTTTTTAAGATTGTTTATTTTTAGAGAGAGAAGGGAGGGAAGAAGGGAGAGAAACATCGACCGGTTGCCTCTCGCATGCACCCAACTGGGGACCTGGCCGGCAACCCAGGTCTGTGCCCTGACTGGGAATGGAATCGGTGACCTTTTGGTTCGCAGGCCTGCGCTCAGTCCACTGAGCCACGCCGGCCAGGGTCCCAGGGTCGTCGGGGGCGGGTGGTCTCCTTTGGTTTTCAAAGTGAGCTCGTTTCCTCTTTCTCCAGGAGCAGCGTCTGCACTTCCTGAAGCAGCAAGAGCGCCACCAGCAACAGTCTGTTTCCGAAAGTGAGAAGCTCCAGAAGTTGAAGGAGCGCGTGGAAGCCCAGGAAAATAAGCTGAAGAAAATCCGTGCCATGAGAGGACAAGTGGACTACAGCAAGATTATGAACGGCAACTTGTGTAGGTGCCGCAGTCCGCTCGCTCCCACGCTCACCCGGCACAGAGGCAGTGGCACGGAGTCCAGCCTCTGCACACTCCCAGTCACGCACCAGGGTCCGATGTGTGGAAAGTGTCCGAGGCTGGCTCTGCCCCCTGCACGGGAAACGGTGGGCTGGGTTAGTGTAGGTGATCGCAGAAGGTCTCTGGTTACATCTGTAACAGCTGCCTTCTGGGGCTCCCTCATTCTGAGGGTCTGCCGTAATTAAACAGCTTACATGGTACCTGTGTGTTAAGAGAAACCATACAAATGCTCCCCTTATACTTCCCTTACTAATCCATGGTGCCTGCTTGGCGTTGCGGTGATACCAGAGCCCGGCCTGTGGTTGCACTGAGACCCCCGAGTGGCCTGACCACGCCTGTGCTGGGGCTGATTGCCCCGGGTGAAGAAGGTTCACTCGTGGGCGCAAATAGGATGGTTCGCCACACGCTCCGATGTTTGAATTGTGCACCTCACAGCCCCCGTGCCAGGCTGGCCCTTGCGGTGCTGGGGCGGAGCGAGATGGGTGGACAGGAAGAAGCTATCACCCCAAAGTAACAAAACTCCGGGGGGGAAAGAATGCCAGCTGAGTGACGTCGTTTTCTTTGGTGGGGGGCGTTTCAGCCGCTGAGATAGAGAGGTTCAGCGCCATGTTCCAGGAGAAGAAGCAGGAAGTGCAGACGGCCATTCTGAGGGTGGACCAGCTCAGCCAGCAGCTGGAGGACCTGAAGAGGGGCAAGCTGAACGGCTGCCCACCCTGCAACGGCCGGCTGGCGGGGCCGGCGGCCGCGGAGCTGAAGAGGCTGTACCAGGAGCTGCAGGTGACTCGGCCGGCTCTGGCCTCTGCGCCGGCTCAGTGGGCACTGGGGCCCAGGGCTGGCGGCGGGCTCCCAGGTTCCAGTGTGGCCGTGGCACCAGACACGTTCAGTACAAAGGAATTTTTAAAGTAGCTCTGAGATACAGTTCACGTAGCATACAGTTCACCCACTTAGTACCATTTAGTGGTTTTTAGTATCTCCCTGGAGTCCCCTATCTACCACTACGGTCAGTTTTAGAACATCTCATCACCCCCAAATAAAGCCCACGTCTCTTAGCCACCCCCCTCCCGCCCTCGGCTGCTCTCAGCAGTCATGGACCTCCCTCCTGTGTCTGTAGACCCGTTGTCCTGGACGTGCCCTCGGCGCGGGCTCGGCTCTGTGCCGCTCGCTGTGCCTGGCTTGCTCACTCAGCATTGTCAATGCAGAGATTCGACACAGGAGTCCACTGGCAATATAATGAACTAGTGAAGAATTCAGCTTTAGATGGTATTTAAGGTGTCTGCGCCAGCTGCTTCGACAAGATGGACGCCTGTTCTTAAGTCCTTGTCTCAGCAAGAGCCGCTGCAGCAGAACGCTGCAGGCCGGGGGCTTCAGCCACAGACACTCGGCTCCCCCGCGCTGGGGGCCGCGAGTCAGGGTCAGGGTGCTGGCGGGTTCGGTCCCCGGCTCGGGGGCGGGGGGGCTGCTTCCTGGCCTGCAGGGGCCACCTTCTCGCTGTGCCCCTGTAGCTCCGGTCTCTCCTCTTCTGATAAGGGCACTTTTAAAAAGAACCCCATCATGGGGTCCCATCCTCATGACCTCATCTAGGCCCCGCCTCCAACCGCTGCGGAGGTGGGGGGCTCCAGCACCTGAACTCCAGGAGGACGCAGACACCCGCCCGCAGGGCCCCCAGACTCACGGTTCTCACAGGGCACTGTCCAGTGGGCGCTTTTTCAAGCCGGAAGCAAGTTTTGCAGTTCTGTTAGCACTTGGCGGAAAAAGTATTATGTCATTTTATGAAATGAGAATGTTTAATTACGGAGCTTAAAACCACTTTTTGTGTTGCTGTTAACATAAATGCATAGAAATGAAATACAAGAACTTAACAGCTTTTAACATCTTTAGCAGTTGTTAAAAGTGGAGGGTTTTTAAGGATTTTGTTGGTCAGGTGTGGTGAATGTACCATATTTATCTTCAGCTGTTTTGACTGGTCCAGTTGAAAAGTGCACCCCTCTGTTGGGGGCTAACACGTACACCCGAGGGGCGAGCACCCCGGGGCCTGTCTTCCGTGCGTGCTACACCGTTCTTGGTCTCTGTCGCCTCCTGAAGTGCTGGTTGCAGCCCATGAAACGATAGGATGTCTGGCTTGGCGACTTAGGCCATCCTCTGTGAACCGCCCGCTGCCTCCGCAGTGAGGCGCCTCGTTCGGTGGACTGTACAGGGTGGAGCAGACACCTGTCCTGAGGTCCCTCGGAGAGGATGTGTTTGGGACACTTGTCACCAAAATGCCATTCCCCAGGCTACAGTCATGGTCCGCATAGTCATTCATTGGTGCTTGTCGTTCCACATGCTCAGAAGAAGACACGCGTTCGCAGAGGTCCGCTCTCTTTTGGGCCCATAAGAAGTGTGTCCTGGCTTACCTGTGCTGCGCTGGTGAACAGCGCATGAGCCGGTCTGTCTGTGCAAACACACACAAGGACTCAGTTCTCTTTTCTTTTTTTAAAGTTTCCCTGGCAGTGTGAATTTGACTGTTGAATTAATGCAAATCATAAAAGTTATATTTTCTATTTTGTAGATTCGTAACCAGCTTAACCAGGAACAGAACTCAAAACTGCAGCAGCAGAAGGAACTTCTAAACAAGCGCAACATGGAGGTGGCCATGATGGACAAGCGCATCAGCGAGCTGCGCGAGCGCCTCTACGGGAAGAAGATCCAGGCACGTGGGGAGCGCGTGTCCGGGGGTTAAGCCGCTGCCGGCGGCCCGGCCCCGAGCCGCACATGTATGCCATTGCCGCGTGCTCCCCATCCGCTCTGGCGGTGGCCGTGAATGGTCCCTGAGCCCTAAACACAGCGGCGGGAGACCGTTCTCTCGGGCCAGTGTCCTGCCGTCTGGACTCAGGCCGCCCCCGGGGCAGCTGGGGCCGCCCCTTCTCCCGGGGGCCCGGTTCTGGAGGCTCTGGCGTTGGCAGCCGGTCCCGGGGCCAGCCCCTTGACCCGCGTGGCTCCGTGTCGTGGCTTTGTCTCACCGGCCCCAGGAATCGGCCCAAAGTGTCCCCGCACGAGCCCCGGTGGAAGGGCTGTGTAAACTCTTGAGCGACGGTCTATACGAAGTGCTTAGCACTTAAAAAAAAACAAACTTTATTTGTTTTGATATTTTGAATTTCAAAGGTAATAAATACTCATTGGGAAAAAGTTTAAACAGCACAGAGCCATTTAAAGGGCAGTGTGGAAGCCCCTTTGCCCTGTTCTCGTTTCTGAGGGATGCCAGCTGTTCATGGTTCCAGTCTTTCGCTTAATGCAGACAGGAGGCGTTTCACCCTTTGTTGACGTGGACCTGCAGGAACCATCTCGCTCGTCCTGCTCCGAACCCAGGCCTTTTGTCAGACTGCAGCGTGGGTGTCTTTCCAGGCCGTCGCTTCCGCGCGTTTGTAACAGTTTGTAACTGTTTGTAACACACCCCGGCCCAGGCCTGCTGTCCCGTGCGTGCCCCAGGTCCTGCTGTTGCTCCCGGCGCCTCTGTGTGCACGGGCCAGGCGGGGGGCTTGTGTGAGGGGGATCGGGGGCTGTTCTGCGCCCTGGCCGGACATGGCTGTGCCCTTCCCCCTGCCATGGCGCTTGGGGTCGAGGGAAGCGGCGCTTGGGTCAGGGCTGGCTGTCAGTCTGCCCTCGGAGTGGCGCATGGAGCGGGCAACCTGGCCCGCTGGGCCGGGCTCCCGAGTTGCCCGTGCTCCCTCAGCAGGCGGTGCTTCCGTGGTTTGGCATGTGTCCTTGTCGGGCCCTGCTGCCTGGAGGGGCTCTCAGGAGGGGCGCTGGCCTCGGGGGCTTTGCCTGGTGGGATGGGCTGGGCGGGGGCTGGAGGCGGAAGGCCGGTCAGTTCTGCGGCGGTCGTAGCGAAGGGTCTCAGGTGCAGAGTCTCTTATTTACAGATTTCTGCTTTTCTTAACCAAGGAGCTTAAAGGTCAGTGGTTAGTCTGTGTAGCTCTGTGACCACGGGTCACGGTTTTCCTCTTGACCTCGATGAGCAACGCAGAGGCCGTGGGAGGGCATGTGCATACTCTCCGTGCCTGCTGGCCTAGCTTCCCTCCGTCCTCGTGTGCCAGGCGAGTTCTCCAGAGAAACAGAACCAGTGGACGGTTCTGGCCAGTGTGGCTCAGTTGGTTGGCACGTCGTCCTGTAAACTGGAAGGTCCCAGATTCAGTTCCCAGTCAGGGCACAGGTCTGGGTTGTGGGTTGAGCCCCTGGTCAGAGCGTGTCGTGTTCAGAGAGGCAACCGATCGATGTTTCTCTTGCAGGGGATGTTTCCCTCTCTCCCGCCTCCCTCCCCTCTCTCTAAAGTCAGTGAGCGTGTCCTCGGGCGAGGACTGAAAAGAAGAACCTGGGTGTGTGTGGGGAGAGATTGGCCGGCAGTCACAGGGAGCCGCAGCACAGGGCTGCGGAGGCTGCGGCCCGAAGACCGAGGGAGCGGCTGCTGCCGCTGGGGTCCTCTTCCTTGGGGACCGTGGTCTTTTTGTTTTTTTAATGCAAAAATTTAGGGTTTTTTTTTTTTTTTTTAATGTTTTTAATTCTCTCTTGAGGATGTGTTTACGGATTTTGGAGAGGACGGGGAGAGGGAGAGAAACATCCGTCGGCTGCCTCCTGTCTGCACCCTTTCGGTGGGCGGACGGCACTGCAGCCGGCCGAGCCGCCCGGCCGGGGCTGTGTTCACTCACTCTTATGGTGGTGGGGGCTGGTGTCAGGCTCTTCTCACGAGGCCTTCGGCTGATTGCACGCGGCCCACCCGCACTGTGGAGCGCAGCCTGCTGTACTCAAAGCCTGTTGATTGAAATGTTCATCTCACACATTACTGTGCTCACAGCAACACCTATCTAGATGTGTTGTCCAAATGTCTGGGCGCCGTGCATCCCCGGCCTGGCCACGCTGACACAGAAAATTAACTATCACCGTCATGGATGTCTGGGTTGATGTTAGTTTGTGCGTTCACTTGATGCCTCAAAGAATCTCTCCTTGAGAAGCTGGCGCTCCTGCAGAGATGTCACTGCCCACAGGTCCCAGGCACCTCTCGGCAAGTGTCAGAGTCATGGACCTTCTCCCCGAAGCGACATGCTCACGCACGCAGAGTCTCGCAGAGGGTGGCAGGAGGTCTGAGCTTCCTCAGGAGGGCCTGGCTGGGGACCCTTGCGGAGTCCGTGGTCCTCGGGTTGCTTCCCCGCAGGGAGCCTGTTGCTGCCGGGCGGGGCGGGGCGGGGCGACACTGGCTGGCCGCAGCTGGGCGTTTTTGCTGAGCGCAGGCGGCACAGCTGCCTTCAGGGGACTGGTCCGAGCCTGGCCTGGTTCCAGGGCTTGTCACCCACTCAGACCTCGCAGCCGCCCTCTCGCAACCTTGCAAACATGGGTGCCAGCGTTTGGGGGCTCCGTCGCCTGCTCAGGGCAGCGCAGCAAGGGCACGGCTCTGAGCCCAGGCTTTGCCTCCTGCCTCTGGGGAAGGAGCCACCCCCTGCTGGGAGGGCTGCCCCGGCGCAGGAGTCCTGGGAAGCAGACCCTGCTGTGTGTGCGGCCCCCAGAGGACAGGTGTGGTCAGAGAGCCTCGCTCACAGGCCTGTGGCCGAGGCCCTTCCTAATGTCTTGCCCCGTTAGACACTCAGCTTCCAGGTTGGCGGGGCTGCCTCGGCACCAATCAGCCAGTGAGCCTCTCAGACTTCGGATGTTAACTCTTCGTTTCTTCCCGTTTTGTAGCTGAGCCGTGTGAACGGCGCGTCGTCGCCGCAGTCCCCGCTGAGCGCCCCTGGCAGGGTTGCTGCGGTGGGGCCTTATATCCAGGTCCCCAGTGCCAGCAGCTGCTCAGCCCCGGGAGACCCCGTAAAGCCCCCATCTCTCACCGCTGTTCCAGGGGCCGCCCACGGACGGCCCAAACCCGGTAGGTGGCCAGACCCTCCTCCTGGGAAGTGAGCGGGCGGGGGGCCCTGGGGCGGGTCCTCGGAGGGGTCCCCGTGTGCACCCTCAGTCTCCCCTGAGGCGCCATGTCTTCTAGGCACCTTTGGGATCTGGGTGCTACCACAGTGACCGTCCTGTAAACAGAGCAGTATGGCCAGTCTCTCCTTTCCCCGCTTGAAGTGTCCTTGTCCGTCAGAAAGTCCGCAGACCGTCCCTTGGCCTCGGCCCGCTGAGGCATGCCGCGCGGCTGGCCTTTGGCCCCCAGCGCGGGGCTGATGCGCCGCCCTCCTGACAGAGCGCCTGCGGAGCCCCGCTCCCCGGCCACGGGCGGCCGGTCCTCCATGGCAACCCTGTCCTTCCTCAGGGGGAGGCGGCTGGCTTTAAACCGATGCTTTAGAGAGCCGGGGCTCCTTTGCAGGACTTCCCTTGCGACTGGCGCGGACACAGTCCCTCGGCTCCCAGCTCAGAGCGAGGGCCAGATGCTGCTGCATCGCCTTGCTGAGGACGGCAGTCCTGCGGGCTGGCCTGGGTCGGGCCTGGGCGGGGGGCACGCTTTCCAGGGCTGTTGGTGGATCTGTGCAGCCTTCTGTCTGTTGGCCTCATGGCCTCTTGCGGGGCGCCCGCCCTGAGCAGCCACCCCTGTGCTGCTCCTGCTGTGGGGCTCGGGGCTCCGGCCGGCCCGCGGAGAAGGCGCCGCAGCCCTCGGACCCCGCGAGTCGCGGCAGCGTGCGGGCTGAGTCCGTGGCCCGCGGGCCTCTGACTGCGGGTGCTCTGATGAGCTGCTGTTCGCGTGGGAGCCGCCCGGCGCTGGGAGTGGATGGCCGCCTGTTTGCCACGGCAGATACTTAGGCCAGCCAGGCGCTCGCTGCTGCCTTCCTCGTAAACCTTCCTGCGCTGTGCGTGCCGCCCGCGTCCCTCTTGGGGGGCGGGTGGCGGTGCTGGGCCACCTCTCAGAGGGCGCGAGGAGCAGACACCCTGACAGCGCCCTGAAAATGTGTCCTGCGGATGTTCCGCACCAGCGCTGGTCTTTCCTCCGTGCTGTGAGGCGACAGCACCGGGGACCGGGGCCACCCCACCCTGAGGGCAGAAGCTCGGCCCAGATGTGGATCTGGGGAAAGAAATCTCCTCGGCGGGACGCTGACCGGCACTGTTGGCTGTTCTGGCCCCGTGTCACACAGATGGCCGTGGTGACCCCAGAGTGACCAGCTCGTGGACAGTGTCCGACCTGGACGTTGGGCCTGACTGCGGCTCCGCACCGCGTCCTGCACGCCCGTGGACGGACCGTATGTCGGCGGGCGGGCCTGGCGGGAAGCTCTGGCCTCCTTAATGCTGCTCGATCGACAGCCGCCCTTTTTCCAAACTGAGAAAGCTCGGCGCGTTGCATTCAGACTCGAAAGAGGTGCCACGCAAGCAACGCTGTTCCTTCCTGTGGCGGGCAGGGTCTGGGCCGGGCCGCACACACCGGACTGTACTCAGTACGGGTGTGGCTGCACCAGTAACACGAGGGTTGTTTTTTTTTTTTCCTTTTTCCCAGTTCAGATGATTTGCTGAGTTCATTATGAGGCTTTTAATTTTATCTTCCGTACAAGTATCTCCATACTTGAAGATAATTGTCCTTTTATAATGAAAGTAAATGATCTTTCTCCTATACCTCCTGCCTTATCCTGAAGAAAATCCTTGGTCCCTTCTTGGTCCTTCTATAGCTAATTCCCATAAAACCTCCGATTGACGTGGGGTGCCAGGGGCCTCTGGACGGCCACGACCCCTCTGACCCTGACAGAGGGCACGGGAAGCCCTCCCCCGCAGCTGCGGTGGGCTGTGTCTCCCCGTCAGCCGGGGCTCCCCTGCGGCACGCCCGGTGAGCCTGCGGTCTCTGGCCCACACGTCTGCAGTCTCGGGTGTAAGGGCGCAGGACAGAAAACCACCTCTGGCTTCAGAGGCTGACGGGCCACACCGAGCAAGGTGACGTGTGGACCGGGGCCCTGGGCTGCCTCAGCGGGACCCTCGCAGCGGCCTGGAGCCTGGGTGGCTCAGCGGTGCGGGGACTGAGTGGCGTCGCAGCACACGCAGGGCTTGCGGTGCTGCTGCAGAGGGAGGACGCGGCCTCGGCGCGCGGGGGCCCGGCCCGGCCCGGCCCTCAGGCTCTGCCCATCCTGTTCGCGCTGCGGCCTCGCTGGCTGTGCCTGGAGCGCGTGCGAGAGCCTGTCTCCCGCCCACGAGTCACAGGTGTGGGCCTCCGCGCTGCTGTGGCCGGGAGGGGCGCTCCCTGCGGCTCCTCGGTCACCCCGCCCGCTGCGCGGGCCGGACAGACGGGGACCAGGTAGTCCCCCTGGATTTCTTTCTGCCCCGTGTGGCTGGTGGCCAGTGCCCACCCCCTCGCGCAGCCCCTGAGCCTCCTGCAGAGAGAGGACAGCCTGCGTCAGGGCTGGTACCCGGCCCGCCCGCTCCCGGTGAGCTGGGTGCCAGCACGCTTCGCCGCCCTTTCTCAGTTTGGAAAACGCTCTATGAAAACGCAGCCTCGCAGCGGCTTTCCTGGAAGCGCAGGGTTGACCGGGGTTCTGACCGCTGCGGCGGAGCGCAGCCCGCCCTCCGGTCGGTGGGGCCTGGCACAGCCTCCTGCAGCCTCGCACTCTACGGGTGCAGAAATTTCTGACAGCTTAAAGTTGAATTTTCCTTTTAATACTAGAAGCAGTACAGATCAAACCTGTTATGGAGTTAAAGGGAAACCTTTATTGTTGGGGGGGATGTATCTGTAAGTGGTGTCTGAACAGTAGGACCAGTGCCTATTTTTATTCGTTGGTGTTGACGTGACAGGTTTGAGCTGTACTTCAGCGAGAACGTTCCGGCAGCACCCGGGCCCTCGCCGGTGTGGCCGTCGCTGGCGCCTGTGCACTGCAAGCCACATGGGCACCGGCCAGGCCATGCCGGCAGAGGGCCCGTGGTGCTGCCGGGCGAGCTGGTGCGCGGGGGGCGGGGGGCGGGGGTGCGGTCAGCGCCTGGGCAGCACTGCTGTGTCAGAATGCCATGTCCCAGCCGTGATCGTCCTTCCTGCCAGGGCTGCTGTGAGGTTGGCTCATCGGATGTCAAGACAAGGTTTACTTATGCTCTGTGTTCTTTTTAAGCGAATGATGGAAACTGGCCAACACTGAAACAAAACGTTAGCCCCGCTGGGAAAGCGCCGCCGCCGGCCAATGTGGACTGGAAGGACCCGAGCGTGGAGGGGCCTCTCAAGCAGGGGGCCGTCTCCAGCCAGCCTGTGCCCTTGTCAGCCCTGGCAGCCCCCGAGAAGCTGGTAGGCCTTTGCCGTGACCCCGTGGCACACGCCCCTAACCATGTCCCTGTCTGCCTTCACCTTCATCGGCGGGCCACTCCCCTCAGTGTCTGAGCTAGACCCAGCCTGGAGGAGGGTGTGGGCCCTGAGCGCTGGGCAGTGCGCCCGCGCAAAGGCCGCCTGCTCAGGGCTGTCCTGCGGGGCACAGGCGGTAGCCCTGCTCTGTCTGCTGCCCACTGTGCCCTGTGCCTGGTCAGAAGCCAGTGTGAAGGATGAAAAGTCTTACTTTGTATTCTCTGGACTACGGATGGAAATGTGCTTAACTTTTCAGAGGATGACTTTATTTTTCTTCTTAATGTCTAAATTTAGGGCCTTGAGGCGAGTAAAGTGCCGCCCCCCATTCCTGGCGTCAACAGGCCGCTGCCTCCGAGCTATGGGACGCACCCAAGTCCAGCGCCCACAGGTCCAGGGTCAACAAACTCTTTGGAGAGGAGGAAGGAGGGCAGCTTGCCCAGGCCCGGCGCAGGCCTGCCCAGCCGGCAAAAGCCCGGCCCACTGCCCACCGTGGGCAGCGTCCACCCACTGGGCTCCTCCCAGCAGATCCAGCAGAGGATTTCTGTGCCGCCCAGCCCCACGCACCCGCCACCGGGGCCCCCTGCGTTTCCGGCTGGAGACGGCAAACCTGAGCTCCCCCTGACCGTGGCCATCAGGCCCTTCCTGGCTGATAAAGGGTCAAGGCCACAGTCCCCTAGGAAAGGACCCCAGACCGTGAATTCAAGTTCCATATACTCCGTGTACCTCCAGCAAGCCACACCACCTAAGAATTACCAGCCAGCGGCGCACAGCGCCGTGAATAAGTCAGTGAAAGCAGGTACAGTGGGTCTGTGCTCTCCTCTTGGGGCCAGGACGTTACACTCTTCCTTAAGAAAATGCCCGTCCGTGTCCTCACACGTGCCGCGTGCCAGCCTGGGTTAAACCTGGCCCTCGTGAGGCGTCCTGGGAGGTGGGTACTGGGTGGATGCAGAGGGTGCGTGTGCAGCGGGACGGCCACAGCCCTGCCCCCGGCCCAGGCGCCCGGGAGCTCCAGGCCGGGCGGGACGTGGGAGAGCTTCCTCTTCTCGGGTCCCGGCGGCCTGTGCAGGGGCGGCCCCAGGGGTTTGCGTGGGGGCCTGGCCTGGACCTGCCACAGCTGGGCCACACCCCTGGGGCAACAGTGTGAGGGGGTGTCTGCTGCTTTGGGCGCCTCCAGCGGAGCCCACACGGGAGAACAGCCCTGACGCGGGGTGAGGAGAAATGGGCCCTGGCGGCCGAGGCCGGGGGCGCCGCTGACCCGGGCGGCAGGACCTGCCCGTTGGGTCTGGGCTGGGCTCCCTCAGCCACTCCTGGGTGGGCGCCGTGGCTTCCGGACTTGCAGTCCAGGGTCCCCGCCGCTGCCTGGCCTCTCTCGAGACCCTGGGCCCCCAGGGGAGCCTCCTGTCTGACTTGGCCTGTTCTTCATACTGTGCCACTTAGGTCCAGGGCCAGCCACGTGTTCAGAGGTGACACCTTTCTCCTTGGCCAGGAAACATGGAGGGCATGTTTGGGGCAGGGAAGCCAGAGCCACGGCCTTTTAAAGGTGTCCTTCATAGAAGCCCGTTTCTGGAATCCCACGTGCAAAAACGGCAAAGTTAGACATTCCCCCTTCCCAAAAGGGTCATGAGGTTCCTTGAACAAAGGGCTTGTTTGGGATTTAAACGAGAGTTCAGCCACCAGGCCGTCTCTCGTGTGGCCAGGGATGCCTGGCGACGGCCCCAGGGCCCGCAGGGCGCTGAAGCCGGTCCCCGTGTCTCCCCTAGTGTACGGGAAGCCTGTCCTGCCGTCGGGTTCGGCGTCCCCGTCCCCCTTGCCGTTTCTCCACGGTTCTCCGGCCACAAGCGCGTCGCAGCCCCAGCCGCCCGCAGAAAGTGCTGAGAAGGAGCCTGAGCAGGATGGCCCGGCCCCTCCTGGGGACAGCACGGCAGGCACCATGGAGAGCCTGCCTCGGCCGCTCAGCCCCACCAAGCTCACGCCCATCGTGCACTCCCCGCTGCGCTACCAGAGCGACGCTGACCTGGAGGCTCTGCGCAGGAAGCTGGCCAACGCGCCCCGGCCCCTGAAGAAGCGCAGCTCCATCACGGAGCCCGAGGGCCCCGGCGGGCCCAACATCCAGAAGCTTCTCTACCAGCGCTTCAACACCCTGGCTGGTGGCATGGAGGGCGCCCCCTTCTACCAGCCCAGCCCCGCGCAGGCCTTGGCTGGCGCGCTGGCCGACGTGGACAATGGGAACGCCGGCGCCAACGGGAATCTTGGGGAGGCCAGCCCTGCCCAGCCCACGACCCCTCTCCCTGCCGAGTCGGCTCCCGCCTCGGACGCCAACGACAACCAGCTCCCGTCCCCTGAGCCAGAGGGGCTCACCTGTCCCCAGACCCCCCGCCAAACAGCCGAGCCTGCGGAAGACGACAACAACAACGTGGCGCCAGCCCCTTCCCCGGAGCAAGTCCCCAGCCCTGGGGCTGAGGCCCCATCTCCAGGGGAAGAGCAAGTCCCCCCGTCGCTGCCCCCTGTCCTGCCCCGGCCGGCTGCCTCTACGGTGGGTGTGGTCCTTGGCCAGCGCCACCCAGTGCCCGTGGAGGACCTGCCTGGGTTGGCCATGTGCTGGGCGTGGGGTCTGGTCCCTGCCCCCAGGAGTCCGGCCCCGGGGACAGGCTCAGCACACCGAGGGGGCTGCAGGACAGAGCAGGGCCTGGCCAGGGAGGCCCGAGAAGGCTGTCCCGAGGAGGGGAAGCTGCTGCTGGAATCCGGGAGGAGGCGGCAAGGGGGAGAACCTTCCAGACAGGCCCTTGCGGGGAGGCCAGTGTTGACAGAGCAGAGAGGGGTGGGGTCTCGCAGCTTGGTGGGGTGTGGCTGACGTCACCTGCCTGGCTCCCCGCCCTCCCTGCTGCTCCGCACGGGCTGGGGTTTCCGTCCTGGCCCTTTCATGTCCCCAGAGGTTGGGCTGGTGGGTAGGTCATCTGGAAATCAAAAGCCTGCGTCCTCCTCACAGAGCAAACGGACCAACCTGAAGAAGCCCAACTCGGAGCGCACGGGCCGTGGGCTGCGTGTCCGCTTCAGCCCGCTGGCGCTGCTCCTGGACGCTTCCCTGGAAGGCGAGTTCGACCTGGTGCAGAGGGTCATCTACGAGGTGAGCCGGGCGGGGCTGGCACCCCGTGCGCCCAGCCCCACGTGGGGCGGGGCGGGGCGGAGCTCACACGCCTGTGTCCCAGGTGGAAGACCCCAGCAAGCCCAACGATGAGGGCATCACCCCCCTGCACAACGCCGTCTGCGCCGGCCACCACCACATCGTGAGGTTCCTGCTGGACTTCGGCGTCAATGTGAATGCTGCGGACAGCGACGGCTGGTGAGCCCCGCACCGCGCAGAAGGGAAACGCAGGGTCTAGACCACGGGGAGTCTGGGGGGCCTGGATGCCGCCTCCCAGCGCGCCCCGGCTTTGTGCCTGGGAAGCCGCTGACAAGGGCGCGGCCGCAGTGTGCCCTGGGGCATCTGGCTGTCAGCAGGGCGTCCGCACGCCCACAGCCGCAGTTTGCTCCTGTTCCTAAGTGGCCGGGCGCCTGCGGTTGGCGTGAGGTCTCGGGGGCCCTGGCTGCCCGGGGGTCCCTGGTCAACCTGAGGCAGCTGTCTACTCTGCTGTGTGTGCACATCGGGGTCTTTAGTTGTGGTAAAATGCATGCAGCCCTTACATTGTAGCCATCGGAAGGCGCAGGTCAGCAGTGGGAGATGCCTTCACGCTGTAGTGGGTGGACGTCTGTGTGACCGGCTGTTCTCCGACCATGCCGTGCCCCCTGGAGGGGCTTACAGGGGGTCGGGGCAGTGCCTCAGTGGGTGCCACCCCACTAAAAAGACAAGCGCGCGGGCCCTGAGGCTCAGCGTGGCCCGGGCCACCGCCGGCAGCCACGCAGTGCCTTCGCCTCCGCCCCTTGCAGGACGCCGCTGCACTGCGCCGCCTCCTGCAACAGCGTCCACCTCTGCCGGCAGCTGGTGGAGAGCGGCGCCGCCGTCTTCGCCTCGACCATCAGCGACATCGAGACCGCTGCGGACAAGTGCGAGGAGATGGAGGAGGGCTACATCCAGTGCTCCCAGTTCCTGTATGGTACGTGGGCCGGGGCCCCGTCCCGGGCCGCAGCGGGACATGCACCGCGCTGCTGCGGGGCTGGTGGCGCCCGAGCTCAGCCTCGGGCAGCTCGGTCGGTCTAGCACACGGAGAACACGGTCCCGCGGCTCATTCCGAGACGTGTCGGCGGAAGCTCCCTTCTCGGCCTCTGTGCAGGTGCCGCCCCTCTGGGCCGTGGAGCTGGGCGCGTGGGGCCGGGCGGCATTGCCCACTCGCCTCCGCAGGGAGGTGCCCAGCGCCACGGCGGGGCCGAGGGCGGCCCCGGTCAGGCCAGGGCGGCGACCACGGTGAGGGGGCGTCAGGTCTTCGTGAGGCCGCTTCAGCCGGCTCAGCCCCTCCGGGAGCTGGAGCAGCTCTGTCCGGGGAGCCCGTCGCAGGTGGCCCGTCCCACCCCAGCAGGGCGCCTGTGGGCCCAGCCTCCGTCAGACCCCGGGACGGGCACTGCCCCCGGCTCTGTGCGCAGAGGTGGCGGCAGCCTGGGGAGCCGTGTGGGGGACAGCGGCCACTGCGCTGGGAGGGGGGGGGGCCCGGGTCACCAGCATGTGCGGCCGTCCTCGGGATCCCCACAGTTGACTCCCGGGCGTGGACGTGCCCCTTCGCCGCCGTGTGGGAGTGCCTCCTGCCCTCGAGGGCTGTCGCGGCACTTCCTTAGCCTCTGGCGCTGGGGAGGTGGTTCTAGGTGTGGGTTCTAAGTTTCACCCTCAGAGATGCCGTTTGGAACAACAGCCCTTTGAGCCCCATCGGCAGCGTTCTTCTGCCGGGGCCTAGAAAAGGCTGTTGACATGAGGCCACAGGCCGCTCTGGGCCTCACCGGGCCGCCCGGGGACAGCGGCGCGGCCTGGCCCGGCCCCGCAGAGACCCAACTGCGTGCTGTCCTGTCCCAGGGGTGCAGGAGAAGCTGGGCGTGATGAACAAGGGGGTGGTGTACGCTCTGTGGGACTACGAGGCCCAGAACAGCGACGAGCTGTCCTTCCACGAGGGAGACGCCATCACCGTCCTCCGGCGCAAGGATGAAAACGAGACCGAGTGGTGGTGGGCTCGGCTTGGAGACCGGGAGGGCTACGTGCCCAAGAACCTGCTGGGGGTGAGCACTTTCTCACTGTCCCAGGCTCTGGCTCGGTGCTGCGGCTCCGCGCTCGCCTTCCGCACCCACGGTCAGCGCAGGGGGCCGCACCCTGCAGGGGACCCGGGCCGGGGGCTGCCCCTCTCCACGCCTCAGCGCGCTCTGCACAGGGGTGCGTTGGCGGAGTCAGCCGACTGGGGAGCCCCAAGCGCCGATCACAGCCCTCCGCAGCCCAGAGCTGTCCCCACGGGGGCGGGCGGGGGTGCGAGCCGGCGGGGCCCCCTGGTGAGTGCACACCCGTCCTGCGGCCTTGGTGGGGCTGGCGATGCTCGTACCCCAAGGACACGCACGAGCGCTGTGCCTGGCGGCAGCTGCCGGGGGCACGGGCTGTGACGAGCGCTGCAGGTGGCACCTCGTGCTGTGGGAGGAAGGGGTGCGGGTCGGGGTGGGGTGGGTGCCGCCGTCGAGGAGTCAGGGAGGGTCTCGTGGGGCTGGCAGCCCGCTGGCGCCGGGATGCTCCCTGTGTCCTCTCCGTGTTCTGACTTGTTTTCTGGGCTTCCCAGCTGTACCCTCGGATCAAACCCCGACAGCGAACGCTCGCCTGAGCCTTCCGCTGCAGCGTCGCCGGGAGCCGCGGCCCAGGCCCTGCCGCGCCCGGGACTCGGGAGGTGGAGGCAGCTTCCGTGGTGCTCATGGCAGCAGACGGCCCCGCAGCATGACGCCCGGCCGGCTCTGGATGAGGCCGGGTCTCCACTGTCGCCTCCGAGGACTGGATTTTGCCAATTACTGTAAATCCGAATAAATGCCCAGCTTCCTAAACCGCCCCTGCTGCCAATAGAAGCCCTAGACTTAACCCCCAGTTGGTCGCCAAGGAGGACAAACGCTCTGACTGACTCGGCCCCCAGGCCGCCCCTCGTTCCCCATGTCGCTCACCCAGCCGTGAGACTGTGCAGCTGCGGTGGGGTCCCACCCCCGCGGGGGCCTTGCCGCCTGTGACTCGGACGGCGCAGAAACCCACCGCCTGGCCCCTCCGCACTCACGCTGCTCCCTTCCGTTACCGGAGGCGGCCTGTGGGGGCTCCCCTCGCTGTTCAGCCGGCGGCGCTGGGCTGGACTCCCAAGTCCCTGAAGACCCAGTGACCTGTGGTCAGGAGGCTCAGCACAGCACTGTCCCCTCCTTTGCTCACAGCTGCCTTCTCTGCAGCCTCTCGCTGCCCAGGTGCGGTTCTTAGCCCTCACGCGGCGGACCCTGCGGCCCACAGGCCAGGGAGCCCGAGGCCGGGCGTGCGGGGTGGCACGGACGTGGGGGCTCCTGCACAGACGTCAGGAGGGCGGCTGTGGGGCACGAGGGTGGGGCTCAGCCTCCCCACTCTGCACCCGCCGGGGCACAATCACCTTCGTCCCACTTCCGGACTTAACACAAGGCAGGCCCCTCCCCGAAGCTGGCTGTACGGACAGGCTTTTATATACCAAAAGTATTTTTTGACTTGACCACTCGAGACCACCAGAACGATACTGGAAATGTTTTTTCTCTCATTAAAGTCCAGGCCCTCAGGCTTTATTTTCCGTGGACGAGTCTGTATGATTTAGGTCTAAGTGTGTGTAGAGCCGACGCTGTAGCTGGGTCCCTCCGGGCACTGACTGTACACAGCGGCGGCGACGGGAGTGCGCGCCCGGCGGGGCGTCCCCGCCGCCCGTGACCGCGCGCAATAAACCGCTGCCTCCCACTGCGGCTGCGAGTCCTGTGTTCCGCGGCCGGACGGGGCCGCCGCGCCAACGGCGGGGTCGGGACTCAGTGAGGCGCGGCCGGGTCTGTATTTTCAAAATAGGTTTTAATCAAGCTTTATATACAAATTGTCGTACAATTATTTTAATAAAGTGAAATAGTAAGTAAAAAGTACAAAACACAAAGCGGCTGCTCCCTGTAGTGAAGTATCAAAGGTCTGTCCGCGCCCCCAACTCGTGCTGTGGGGGCGAGTGTGCGGGCGGGCGGCCGTGGGCCCGCTCCCCAGGTCGCCCCGCAGGTTAATGGAAGGGGGGGAGGGGAACCTGCTAGTGAACCTGGCGCTCATAAAAACGTGGTGTAGGTTATGCTAAAAACAGTTCAGCAGTAGTGTAGCTGGGTCTGTCCTACCCCAGTTAAGTGTCAGCAAGACAAGACAGGTTCTAAAGCGGGAAGCTGTTTGCAGTGTTAATAAACGGTGGACGTATTGCACTAGGTGAGCGAACACGTCTGTTTTTCCAAAGTCTCACGCTGCCCTCCCAGCACGCGGGGCATCGGGGCGCACAGTGCGCTGGCTCCGCTGTTCCAAGCAGGCGGCCGCTGCGAGCAGTCACTGGTCCCGAGATTCGTAGAGGAGCTTGGCGGCCTGCAAGGGAACCAGAACCAGGGAGACGTGCGCGTGGCCCTGCGCCTGGTGGGAGCTGCGGGGGCACCCACGGCTGGGTGGGGGCCGCGCTCGCCCCCGGAGAAGCAGGCCTGCTCTCAGCCCGGGGCCCCGCCTCCTGCCCACCCGGTGCCCACGGGCCGCCTGCCCGTGCGCCTCAGTACCTTGTGCATGGCCGCCAGCCACACCATGGCCTGCCTCCTGCTGGAGTTCGCGTCTTCCCCTGCGGTCAGCTTCAGCTGGGTCGCGCCCTCTGACCCTGGTGCCGAGTACTGCAGGGACATGCCTGTGGCCCGCGCGCTGCCTCCTGGAGGAGGGAAACAGGTGAAGAGGCCTGGCTGCCTCCAGCCCAGGTGTGGGGGCTGGGGCTGGGGCTGTGGGGCCGCTGGGGAGCGCGAGCTCCTCAGACCTCCCGGCAGACAACCCCGAGTTCACAGGATGGGAAAGGGAACCTCCTGGCCCGGGGCCCCCGGGACAAGCGGATCACACCAGGCTGCCGGGGGCCAAGGAGGAAGGCGGCCGCCCCTCCCAGGCGAGACTTCCGACCAGGCAGCCACGCCTGCCTGCACCTGGGCAGAGGCCAGGCGGCCACAGCCGCCCACACCGAGGAGCAGGGGTGCCGCTGAGGGGCTGAGCACGCGCGAAGGCCCAGCACCACCGAGGCAGAAGTCCCACCACCCAGGTTGCCAACCCAGACGCTCAGCTCCCACAAAGGTGCCACACGGGGAACGGGCCCGCTGGGACATCGCCCATCCCGGCTGGAACCGGCTGCTCCGGTGACGACGCCCTTCCAGCCCTGGCTCCGAGACCCACCGCTCAGGCCGAGGGCCCCGCGGAGGGCAGGCCCCCCAGCTCTGACCGGGGTCCGGCAGGCGCGAGCAGACTCCGCCTGCGCTGTGGGAAGGCGCCCCGGGCCGGCGCAGGGTGCGCTCCGGCTGAGGTCCCGGGCCTGCGGCCGCCCCAGCTGGAAAGCGAGCGCTGGCCCCTGGGCCCACGAGCCTCCTGAACTAACGTCCCAGCCTCAGGCCTGCCCTCCTGCTGCGGGGCTGGTCCCTGACAGCGCAGGAGCCCCGGTGCTCCGCCCGCCACCTGCTCCTCGCAAGTAGGTAAGTAGTCCGACCGCCTCGCAGCCACGGGTCCCTACGTCCTCCAGCTACTTCTCCACTTGGCCACGCTCTGCGTGGCCAGCAAAGCCGAACACAGTGCCCCCCTGGCGCTTGGCAGGCCGGCGGGCCGCTCCCTGGCTGCCTCCGGCTCGGGCTGTTCCTGCGCCCCGCCCCCTTGGGGACATCATGGCAGTGGGGCCTGCGGTTCCGGGAAAGTCCTTGGCAGAGCCAGGCCCCCAACCACCACGGGCGGCGCCAGAAGGCTCTGCCCGGCGGGCCGGCGGGTGTGGCTCCGAGGCGGCAGGCGGAGGGCCGACCCCGGTCTCTCCAGACCCTGCCCTTTGTGTCAGGGCGTGTTTAACCGCCAGCCCGCCACGGCGCCCCAGGGGACGGCAGGGCCATCACACGAGCCTGGGCCTCGGCCACCTCAGGGCGGAGCCAGGGAGCCGGCCCAGGGGCAGGAGGGCACTGCAAGGGCCGCCCGCGCCTGCGCTCAGAGTCGGCGGCACTGCCCCTTGGGTGAGAGCGACGGCGAACGCGTCTCTTCTGCCAGGTGTCCTCACTACCGTCGGGGTACCCGCCTCTCGGACCCGGTCCTCTCTTCCCAACTGATGCAAACACGTGAGTGAACATTTCACAGAGGCCCTTGGCGAGACCCCCCCGACCCCCCGCAGCCGGGCAGGGCAGAGACGCGGGTACAGGGCACACAGCATGCTGGGAAGAGCGAGGCTGACCTTCAGAGGTGGGCCGGCTCCCCAGGAGGCTGGTGTAAGTGTGAGTGTCTTTCTCTAGTCAGGAAGGTAGGCGGCAGGAGAGAAGAACAATTGAGAGCCCATCAGAAAACAGGAAGCAAGAGGGTTAAGCCCCGTGGGTTTCCGGTGGAAGGACGGCCACGGAGGCACAGGGTTTAGGCGGCAAGATGCGTGCTGGGCTCAGCACTCTGGGAGCCGGCCAAGTGAGGCACAGGCGCTTGGCTGGCGCAGACCCTTGCCCGGCGCTGGGGGACCATCGGCTGCGCTCTGGCCCCGTCGGGGGCCCCAGCGGTGCCAGCCGCACGTGGGAGCGCCCTGCAAACATGTGCAGGAGAACCTTCCTCAGCGTACACGTGAAGTCCCCGTCCACCCGGTGAGCTCCTAAAGCCACACCGTGAACCAGCCCGCCACGGAGGGCAGGCAGGCACCCCCAAGACGCTGCCGACCAGCTGAGCACCGGCCTCGGGGCGCCTGGCTCCCGGGCCCGCTCAGGCCGGGCGGGCGTGCGCACCTGCCAGCGTGGAGCCTCCCGCGAGGATCTGCACGGTCGAGATGCGTGCGATTTCAATCTCGTGGTGGCTGTCTCCGTCCAGGAGCAGGAGCCTGTGGGACACAGGGGCCGCACACGTCACCCGACGGCCCAGGAGACACGCTGCCGCGGCTGAGCAGGCCCTGCCCTTACCTCTGGTTGCTGGACAGGCGGCAAAGCATGGTTTCGGGTTCCTCCGAGCTTCCCAAAGTCACAAGGAAGGTGGCTCCTTGGGGCACAAAAACAAGCGTGAGCCCAGCCAGCTCCTTCCCCAGACGCGCGGAGGCTGGGACCCTGCTGCCGAGCTCCGCAACCCTCGCTGGGGTGGGAGTGCTGCGTCCTTGGCTTTGCCGCCGCGTAAGTGCAGTCGCCATGTCCTTCAGAAAGAGGCGCGAGATACGCCACCCCAGAGGCCCGGCTCAGAGCACGGACCCTCCAGCTGTGCCCTGTAGGAGTGGCACGCCAAGGCCCGAGCACAGGGAAGGTGCGCGCCTGCCTCCCGCCAGCAGGAACTGCGTGGCAGGAAGGGCAGCTGCCTTGGTGGGGCCCAGGACCCCATGTGGGCCCGCAGGAGTGGTGGCCGGAGCCGTGCCTGGCCATGCCCCCCCCCCCACGATGAACATCCCGTCTGGTGGCCCCACATCCAGCAAGATGAGCTGTCTGGAGAGGCCTGGGGATCCACGCCTGGTGCTGCGGGAGCCCCGGAGGTGGAGGGCGGGCCGCCCTGGAGGAGAGGGCCGCACGCGGGACCGCGGGACCGCAGGACCGTGCCACCGCCCAGCAGGCCGCTCACCGCTCTGCAGCACGCCCAGCTGCTTGTCGAAGAACTCGGCCTCCTTGCGGGACACCAGGGCGCAGGCGAGGCACTGCCGCACGGGGTCCACGAAGCACATGCGCGGCAGCGCCACCTTCTGGCCGCAGCACTTGTCGCAGAAGCACTTCCCGCAGCGGCGGCAGTGGTGCTGGGGGGGTGGGCGGGCAGTGAGCGGGGCCTGCCGCCGGGCAAGGACACCCCACAGCCGTGCTCAGAGCAGGATGCCCCCCACCCCCGCCATGGACCTGGCCAGAGCCCCCGCAGGGTCGCAGCGCGGGCCGCGCTCTGGCTCCTGAGCTCAGCCCCGGGAGGGCGGGCGTCCATCTGGGCCCCTCCTGCCGACGGCCTCGGCTTACCTTTCTGGTGAGAAAGTCAAACTTGGTGTCGCACTGCATACATCTCGGGCACTAGGAGAGAGGATGGGCATCAGAACCCGCGCTGAGGATGCCCGCGCGCAGGCCAGCGGCAGCGCCCAGGACAGAGTCTGGGGGACCCCCGTGGGCACCGGCAGCGTGGCCGTGGCAGGACGGCTGTGGGGCTGGGCTGGCAGACTGCGCACCACGTCTGCGCTTTGTGAGAGCCCATGACCAACACCTTCTTGTTTCTTCTTTGCTCAAGTGGCTTAGTTCTGGACGTGGGCATGGTGCCTCGCCCTCCCGGCCCTTCCAGAACCACCTGCAGGGTCCCCACTGGCCTCAGGCGCTGCCTGGCCGCTTGCCTGCTGCTTGCGCCCGGCCCGGCCTGCCCCCCGTAAGGCTGAAGTGTGCCAAAGGACAGTCACACCCTCCCACCTGGCTGGCCCCGGGGTCCCTCACCAGACCATTTCTTGGGTTCCTCAGGAATAAATACTGTAAGTCATAAAAGTCAGGTTTTGTTTTTTGGGGTTTTTTTTTAAGATTTATTTATTTTTAGAGAGGGGAAGGGAGGGAGAAAGAGGAGAGAAACATCCATGTGTGGTTGCATCTCGTGCACCCCCTGCTGGGGACCCGGCCCGCAGCCCAGGCCTGTTCCCTGCCTGGGAACCGAACCAGCAACCCTTTGGTTTGCAGGCCAGCACTCAGTCCACTGAGCCATACCAGCCAGGATAAAAATCAGTTTTTTTAAATACATGGATTGATGTATCTTTATTGAAAGATAATCCTTTTTATAGAGTAAAAATGTGGCTCCTACAAATACGAAGTGACCCTGCGTCAGAGCTTTGGCTCCCGGGCAGTCACTGCGGGACTTCCCTGGGTGTCGGACACCCAGCTGCCGGGGACACAGCCGCAGGCTGGGCGCGCATCTGCATCACGGTCCACGCTCCGCAACGCGCAAGCGTCACACGGCTCCAAGCAGGGCAGGAGCAGACCCTGGAGACCACCGCAGCCCAGGGACTCGGGGGGACGCTGCTGTGGCCTCCCGGCAGCAGCTCGTGGCCAGCAGAGGGCGGAGGGGCCCTCTCGAGGCGAAGGCGCCTGTGATCTGAGATCCCCTTTGGTGTCCTGGGAAGGTTCTGTGAAGAGCCCCCTGAGCATGTGGCCTGGCTCAGACGCACAGATGCTGCTCGACACCCTGGGCCCGGCCAGACGCTGGCCCCCAGTCTGGCTGGCCTGCAACTAACCTGGGGCGACGCAGCCCCCGAGCTGCGTCCGTTCACAGCGCTGCACCGGAACGCGCACCCGCACCCCGCCTGCTCTCTTCTGCCCGGCCTTGGAGACCTTGGGGGGCGGGTAGCAGTGCCCCTGCAGCGGTCCAGCCCCTCCAAGGACCCTGGGACACGAACTCCTCGCTGGGGTCCAGATTTGCTATTTACGTGACCCACTTGTTCTCTGCCCCCAGCTCTGCGCCGCCTATCAGCGCCGTGGGAGGGGCCGTGTGGAGGGCGGGAAGAAGGGGCGCGAAGCCATGTGGGTCCTAGGGATGAATCTCAGCGTCTGGGCTGCCGGTGTGCAGACAGCCTGCCCCGGCGGGCACTTCGAAGGCAGTCTGTCTCAGCCCCCGAGGGCACTCCCAGGCTGCCCCTGCTCGAGGCTCCACCTGCCTCCCTGCCCCACAAGCTCCGGGGCGCACAGGCTGCATCGCCCTCTGGGTTCACACTGGAGAAGCGAGACCTGCAGGTCCTTCTGGGGCGGGAAACCTGCCCCCCCCAGAAGCTGAAAGCGGTTGGGATAGGACAGTGAGAAGCTGGGAAAACTCCTGGGTGAGTGGGTTGGGGAAACTGAGGCCAGAAAACCAGGCCAAACCCTGAGCAACGTACAGCCTGCTGGTGACTCAAGCCCTTACCGCCTGTGACCAAGGACGCTGGGAGCAGATGGTTCACCCCTGTCCTCGCTGACCAGAGGAGACACAGCCGCCCCGGCCAGGGACCGCAGGCCAGGAAGAGAGGGAGGCCCATGCACGGAGGGCGGGCCGCTGCGTGGCTCCCTCTCAGCCCCTCCTGCCCCCGGAGAGAAGCAGCCCCTCCACGCTCCCCCGGGGATGCCCCGCCCCTGTCCCCACGTTCCCTCTGCTGCAACTTGCCTCTGAAAGCTCAGGGAAAGGGGGCGTCAGGGTCCGTACCCGCCGCCTTCTCAGGCTGCGGGCCTCTGAGACCCATGGCAGTGTGATCACTACCCGTCCCCGTCTCTGCTTTCCGGCTCAGCCTGACGGCAGCAGGAGCCCCGGACCCGGTTACCCTCGGGTTTCACTATCTACTCACGCAGACACACCCCAAAAGTCCCAACACTCTCAGCGGTGTCCCCATGGGCCCAAGCTAATGACCTGGCACAGGGTCAGGCACCTGTGGCAGATGGGCCTGGGAAGGCAGAGCCACGTGACACGGAGGAGCGTGTGCCGCTGCGACAAGGACGCTGCTCCGTGCGTGGCCAGGCTGAGGACGCGCCCCTCCTGCCACAGTCCCCCTGACCCCCGCCCGGTCCCTACCGCCACAAACAGCCGGCTTCTCTCGAGAGGCTGCCTGCACGCGGGGACCCTGTCGCCCCCAGGACACTGAAGAGGCAGGGCTCTGCCACGCGTGTGCAGCCGGGTGCGGCCGGGGACGCGGTGGGGCAAGCCCGCAGCAGGCAGCAGGCGCGCCACAGCGCCTCCCTGGAGAGGCTCCCTGCCCTCCTTCCGACCTGGGAGTGACACTTCCGGGGCAGGGGGGTGGGGTGTGCTGCCGTGGCCCAGGCATTTCCACCCAACAAACAATTTCGCAAGAGTCCTGGGGCAGCCTGGCCGGGCTCCAGGGGCGCCCCGCCCCACCGCCGCCTCCCGGGGAAGACCGGGAGTAGTGATGGCGGAGGCAGCGCGCACGGAGGGGCAGTCAGAGCGGGGTGCCCGGGGACACTGCTTCGGCGGAAACCCGGTGTGGCCCAGGCCACGCTCTCGCACAGCCACGCAGCACGTGGGGCTGTGGAGCTGTCAGGGACGAGTTAGAGAAAAACATCTTCAGAGGCAACTCGGGGTGGGGGGGGGGTGGGCCGGATGGGAGGATGCGGGGGCACAGGGGCCTGGCCTGCAGGACACCCCGGCGGGGCACCCCTCTGGCCCTGCTGAGGTCGCGGCCCCTCCCCCACGGAGGGAGAGGCCAGTTGGCCTCTATCTGCATGGTCACTCGCCGGCCTCCTTCCACGTGGCTTTGTGCTACTTTGACGTCCTGATGGACACCCGCCCGCTCCCTCCCCGTGGCTGTGAGGTGAACTCTGGGACGTGTGCTCATGAGGACGGTCACGCTGGCCATTCTTCCCTTCAGTCATCCCTTACCGGCGCCAGCCAGGGACGCACGCGAGCCAGAGTGGCTGTGAGCGCAGAGAAGAGGCGCCTCGGGCAGGAACGCAGGAGCAAAGGGCACCCCCGGGGGCCAGACGCCCGGAGCCCGCGGCCTGCGCGGGGCAGCGACCACCCACCGCATCGTCACCCTGGGGCCGCGGCCACTCCCATCCTTCGCTGGGCGCTGGCCTCTCAGCTCCCCAAACGGCGAGTGCCGCCTACGGCCAGGACTCCAGGCAGCGAGACCGGGGAGCGAGGCGATCTCCGGCGGCCCTGCCCCGCCAGCGGCCCCCACTTGGCCGCCGCGGCTCCCAAGGCACCGGAGTTCACTCCTCCGCGGACAGCCTGCCGCCGTCGCGGACTCGGGGGCAGGGGCTCCGGGAAAGGCGCTCCCGGAGGTCTCGGCGCTTTGCCCGTTTCGCTCACGGATGGGACGATACCCAGAGCAGCACGCGAGACGCGCGCGCCAGCTCCTCGGCGCAAACCACGGACGGGCGGTCACCGGACGGACGCGGGCTGAGGGCGGACGGAGGGGGCGCGGGGCTCCGGCGCACGCGAGGCTGACGCGGGCAGGGGCCCGGGCTTTGGAGGGCGCCGCGCGTGTGCACACGCCCTGCTCCGAGCTGCCCTCCGCGAACGCACACAGCGTTCTCAGCCGACGTCGGCCCGACACGTTGCACGGGACAAAGTCTCCGCGCTGTGGAGCCCTTCGGGCACAGGATTCACAGGGGCGCGCGGCCCTCCTGCCCGGCGGGGCGGCTGCGAATGGCTGGCGGGCGGGCAGCGGCCCAAACGCCCGGCCTGACACCAAAGGGCCGCCAGCAGCGGCCGCGCCCACCCGCCAGCAGGGCAGCTCCGGCCCCCCCGCCCCAACCCCTGCGGCCTCCGCGGGCCGCCGCGCTCCCGCTCCCCCGCTGGAGGCCCGGCGCCGCCAACGCGCCCCGCGCCCCGCGCCCCCCGCGAAAGCTGCTCGAAAACTAACTCGGGGCTCCGCTCCGGGGGCAGGCGCTGCACCTGGGCCACCCCGGCAGCTCAGCCGCGGTCGTGGAACTCACAGGTGACTTCCAGGTGGGGACACGTCGGGGAGGGAGGGCCGAGCGAGGGACCCCGACCACTGGCGGCGCGGGAAGGGGGTGCGCTCCCGGGGTCCCGAGAGAGGAGCCAGGCAGAAGGCGGAGTGCCCGAGGCCCCGGGAGGGGGGTGGAGCGCGCGGTCGGCGGGGCCCAGGGCGGCCCAGAGGCGCGGGGCGGGGTGCCCGAGGGCGGCCCTGAGGGGACAGACAAGGGACGTCGGGGAGGCGGGGCGGGCAGGGGGCGCGTTTGAAGCGTGCGGACGGGGGTCCGGGGCGCCGACGCGGGTCCGGCGTGCGGACGGGGTTCGGGGCTCCCAGGCGCGGACGGGGCGCTGGCGGGGGGCCGTGACCTACCTCCTTGTCCGGGACCCACGGCGGCTCCTCCAGGCCGAACGGGCTGCCGAAGGCGCGATGTTCCGGCACCATGCGCAGGCCGCTGGGCGAGCGCACCAGTTTCTTGGCGTCGCGGCGGGCGGCCACCTCAGAGGACATGACGCCGCCGCAGCGCTCGCCCACCGCTCTTGCTCGGCCTTCGCCCCGCCAACAGCCCCGCCCCGCCCGTGCGGCTGACAGCGTCCGCGTCCAATCGGCACAATCGTACCGGAGCTCGGACCAATGGGAGGCCTGGATCCGCCCCATCGCTGCGCTCTCCAATCTGCGCAAGGACACCTCCCCTGCCAGCCTTGTGGTCAGTCACCAATCGGCAGTGAGGGCCGTCCCGGGCACGCTCCGCCTCTGTCAAGGCCATTGAGACTTTGGATTGGTCAGTCCGACTTAGACGTAACGCTACTTCCTCTCTGATTGGCGTATCCGTGTCAGGGCTCCAGGCCCTTATTGGAAGGCGAGACTGAGAGGCAGGACCGCGCGAATCGTAAAGCGCGCGCGAGGTGAGAGCTACCGTCCAGCGGGGCCGAGGTGGGCAGTGGCTCGGGGAGTCGGGGGGCGAGGCCGGGCGAGGGCAGAGGGATAGCCAGGCGCCGGCCCTGGAGGGGTCCCGGCAGTGGGAAGGAGCCGGGGCCGGCGCGGCTGGACTCGTGAGCGAGGAGAAGGCTGGTGTCGGGGCTGTCAACCCGCAGGTGTGAAGGAGGTCGCCCGCCGCCGGAACCCCGGCCCCGGTCAAGACGGCGGCCCGGGGGCCGCGGGGGCGGGCGCCCCGAGTATACGAGGTCGGGCAGTTTCGGAGGAGGAGACAGGGCGGGGTCAAGGTGGTGGGCGCGGAGGGACGCGCAGGGGCGGGGAGGGGGGGTGGGCGCGCGAGGCGGCGCGGTCCTCCGGCGGCCGGGGCCGGGGAGTTCCTGGAGAGGGGCGGGCTCGGAGCCACGGGGCTGGACGGGCCGGGGCCGCGGGAGAAGGCGGAGGGCGGAGGGGGCGGCCGCCCAGCAGCCGTGGCGGGAAGGGCAGCCCCCGCTCCCTCGCGCCGGTCCCAGCGGTGCGGCACGCCCTGGGCAGGGCGGCCAGGTTTGCCGCACGTGGGGCTCGAGCAGCCCCGCCGGGTGGCTCGCTGGCCGGCCAAGGAGGCGGGGACAGGCCGACACTGGTGAGGCGCTTAGGACGCGCGGCCCGGACCTGAGACCCAGGGCGGCCGCTCGCTGGCTGAGTGGCCTCGGCCCGTCGCCTCACCGCTCTGTGCGTCCACGCTGAGCGAGGCGCTTCGCCCGGCCCCGGGGCAGCCGGAGGTGTGACCCCTCAGCGCCTTCGTCCTGCAAGGTCTTCACCCTCCTTGCCGTTCTTTACCGCAAGTCCGTTGCAGGCCCTTGAAAACTGAGTCTTGCTGCCCCCGGGCAGGCGGCCAGTCCGCTGCCCCACCTTCCCACCCCAGTGTGGGTGGCCGAACCGAGGGCCTCAGGCCTGCTCCCCGGAGCCCCAGAGACAGAGGATCCCGGGGGGAGGGGGTCGCAGGGCCTCGCTCCAGGCAGTAATGGGGAATCCCCACAGTGCGCGACGCCCGACTCAGTCATGAGAGCCTCCAGTTCCAGCCTAAGAGACGCTGCAGACGCTGCTTTTCCTGTGTCGTTAACTGTCCCCTTAAGTGACGCTAAATCCAGATGCTCCGGGAAGCGGCTCCGGTCTGTCTCCTGTGCACAGGCCCCTCCTGGGTTAGAGGGCACGGGGCCCGGGGCTGACCGCCCAGCGCCTGGCCCACGAAGGATGCCTGTCAGTGGTGGCTCAGCCTCCCGTCCAGTCAGAACCCAGGGTTTGCACTCAGGCCCCTCCTGGCGGCCGCTGCCTCCCAACAGCCTCCCGGGCTCTGTCCGAACCCAGGCCCAGGGGGCCTCCCAGAGCCACCAGCCCAGGGGAGGGACACACAAGGCACGTCCTCCAGAGGTTAAAACTGGGCCTCGGCCTTTGGTCCAGGTGCTCCGGTGCCTGGGGGCGGTCGCTGGTCCTTGTCCCCCGGGCTCCGTGATTACGAAGATGGTCTCCCTGCCAAGTCAGGTGAGGACACCGCACACCCCTTGCTGTCTGTCCCAGGAATCTAACTCTGCACCTCAATGCAGTTTGGAGCTCCACAAAATGCCCATGGCCCCGCCCCCACGGAGCGGACAGCGGGCCCTGCGCCCAAGCTCCCCAGGCCTCCGGTGGCTCTGATGTGCAGCCCCCGGGGGAGCCGGGAGCAGGGGCACCTCGGTGTGTTTGCTGTCGGCCCTGTGCCGAACAGCCGACCCGGAGCCCCGGCGCCCTGCTCCAGGTGGAACGCGGGACCAGCCTGCTGCCGGGGAGCGCCCTGGCTGGGGTTCCGGAGCTGATTCCCCGGGCAGAGGGCCGGCACTCTGAGCCCCAGCTTCCTCCTGTCCGCAGCTGCCTCCCGGGTGTTAGGCCAAGCAGCCTCCAGCTCACGCCGTGGGCCCGGGGCGTGGCCATCCTTCCTGGGGCCAGCGCTGGGCCTCCCTGACCGGGCTGTGCGCATGTGGGGCCGGTTCTTGAAGCTTCAAAACCCACCTACTCTCCACGTTGGTGCAGCACCACAAGCCGTGTAGCCACCGTAGCGGAGGCGTTGGGTCTTGGTGAGCCAGCAGGGCCTGGCCTTGCTGGGAGACGGTGATGCCCGCTTCGGGCCGAGTGGCGCCAGCCTTGGCATTGCCACATGCCCTGCTATTTGGGGGCCGCAAGAGGAAGACAGAGTAGCTGGCAGGAGGGCTCCTGGGTGACCCTGAGCTGGGAGTGAGGCAGCCCAGGACCGGCGGCCGGGGAGGACCGAGCTGGCCGGGCGCGGTCTGCGTGGCAGTCGCATAGTCCCCGACCCCTGAGCACCCTGCAAGATCCCAAACTCACCCTTTCGAGATGCCCTGTGGAGAAACACTGCAGGGAAACCAAAGTGGGGGGCAGGCGGCACCTCACCGAGGAGCCCAGAGCGCACGCGTCCGCACCTGCTGGCCTTGCGGGGCCGGTGGGTCGGGGCGACGTCCTTTCCCTTTCTGACCCGTTCTGCGGAGGAGGGGCAGCACAGGACAGCCACGCGCTGCGCTGGCCGAGTGCAGGGGGGCCGGGGACTCTCCCGGGCCCTCAGCGCGTGGGTCGAGCCTGAGGTTCCTGACACCAAGCAGCGGCTCTGACAGAGAGGCTGCCGTGGCCCCACCCCGGGGTGTCCCTGCAGAGTGAAGGGGACGCTGGACGCACACCTGGCCCTCGCCCCCACCACGGCGCCTCCCAGCGGCCTGGGTCCCCAGCGAGCCTGGCAGCATGTGTGTCCCTGGGGGCTGTTCGTCCCGGTATCCGCCCCCTGAAGAAATGGACTTGGATCACCTGGACCTGAACCCCAGAGTCATCGCCGCAGTTAAGAAAGGTACGCTTGCCGGCGCCTGTGGAAAGCGCGCGGACCTGCGCGGGGCCTGGCAGAAGCGGGTCTGCAGCTGTGAGTGTGCGGGAGTTTACTCTTGTATCATTAGCTGTTGCGTTGTTTATTGGGGTTACACCTACAAACCTTGTGCTTTGTGTAAACAGGCGCCAAGGTGGCCCAGCGGCCCCCAACCCTGCCCTGCCCTGCCCTGCCCTGCCCTGCCCTGCCCTCCTTTGCCCTCCCCTCCCCCGACTCTTCCCAGCGCGCCCCGGGCGCCGATGCTGGAACACCAGGTGTGTGTGTTTAACTGAAAGCATTTTTTAAAAGTTAATTTTAGCCCTGGCTGGTGTGGCTCCGTGGATTAAGCACCAGCCTGTGAACGCAAGGGTTACGGTTTCATTCCCGGTCAGGACCCAGGCCTGGGTGGTGGGCCAGGTCCCCAGTAGGGGGCGCATGAGAGGCAACCACACATGGATGTATTTTTTTCTCCTTTCCCCTTTCTCTAAAAATAAACAAACAAAATCTTCAAAGGTTAATTTTACTTTCACCAAAGTAATAGCAGACGTGTCACCAGTCCTCCGTGGTTTTGCGTTGACCTCTGGGCCTCCAAGTGCGGAGCCCGCGGCTGCGTCTGGCGGCAGTCGGTGCTCGGACTCCCTGCAGGAAGGCAGGCGGGTGCCCCACTGCCTCCCACGCTGGAAGGCACTGGGTCCCGCCAGCGGGCAGGGCTGTGCGTGGGGACAAGGCCACCATGGAACCCAGGGGCGGGGATGACTCTGTCCTTTGTGGCCCCCCCCCCCCCCCCCGTCAGCAGTCCCCCTTTCCTCACACGCTGCACTCTCGCTGAGTCCGCACACCTTCCTGTGGGCCTGGCAGGCACCTGGGCTCCACCTTAAATGCTCAGAGGGCGGGACGGCTCGGCTGCGGGTCTGCGCCCTAGTGGGCGTCCTGGGACCCCTCGCCTCCCATCCCCCGTGGTCCCTGTCGGGGCTGCTCCCCCACGAGGGTGCTGGACGACCCCTAACGGGCCCGAGCACCCAGGGGCCGAGGCCGCGGCCGGGAGCTGGGTGCCAGGGGCCTGTTGGTCGCTTTCTGTTTCCTTTCACCCAGGCTGACCCTGTGTGTCTTTTAATCGAGCACTCGGGGCGCACGTATCTGAGGTAGTTCCTGAAAAGTTTGGGTTTAACTCTCCCTTATGCTGAGCTCTCTGTTCTGTTTTGTTGTTTTCTTTTGATTGGCTAACTATGTTTTTAGAGTTCTTTCGCTTTTTAAAAATCGTTACCCAAGGATATGCTTATTGATGTGAGACAAAAAAACGTCTTTGCCCCCTGTACACACCCTGACCGGGGATCGAACCCGCACCCTTTGGGTGCGTGGGACAAAGCTGTGACTGAGCCACCCGGCCAGGGCTCTTATTCTTTCTGTAGTTTGAAAGCAATGTGTTTCTCCAAGCGCATGGTTGATTTACGCACTGCGCTCCCAGATGACCGGATCTTCCAGACACATTAACTCTGAACCCCCACCCCGCGGGCGCCCCCTGACACGCTGACGCTCCCTGTCTTCTCTGTTCGCCCCACAAGCCAGCCCTGCGGCCGTCCTGGCCGGCTGGGCGGCACGGTGGACGCTTGTTGGGGCGGGGCAGCTTTTCTTCCTGCACCCCCGCCCGAGGCGCAGTCCCCAGGCTCGGGCCCGGGCCCTCGTGTGCAGGTCTGAGAAAGGTTTCCCAGCGGGGACGGGGCGGCCGTGGCAGCGTGGAGGCAGCGGGGGTAGGGGTGGGCGGCGGCGGTGGCCGCCCAGGCCCTCCCGTCCCGTCCCGTCGCCGCCCCGCTGCGCCCGGGCCCCCGCGGCTCGGGGGCGGGGTCTGGCTCCTGCCGCCAGGTCCCCAGACTGCAGGCGTTGCCCTCCCAGCCCCTGCTGTGTTGCCGTGCGCCACTCCTCTGGCCTGCAACTTATTTGTGTAATTTCAGCCAAACTGAGTTCCCCGAAGGAGGTGCTGCACTTTTCTGGACCCGACTTGCAGAGACTGACTGGCCTCTCGGGCCCTGATTTGCAGCACCTGCTGCGGACGGTCTCCTTGCACCTGCGGGGAAGCAGCGCCGTCACAGGTGGGCCGAGTGGCTGTGCTCTGCCCGGGCCCCGGGGCTTCGCTGGGCCCCTTCCCGTCAGCCCTGCTCCCCTGAGGATCGGCCGCGGGCCTGGTGGCGGCACCAGGACGGGCCCTCGCTCCAGGGGTCGGTCCTCAGGCCAGAGGAGGAGCGTGGAGGCCAGAGGCCGAGGGGCGCGGGCAGGGCCTCCTGACCAGAGCGCCTGCCGGTGGCCACCTCCTCACGCCCCTCCCCCCACCGCACACCCTGCCCACCCGCGGGCCCCGTGCAGGGCAGGGGGGCTGGGCCTGACTCTGCACCGCCCCCAGCACTCGACCTGCACCTGCAGCGGGACCGCTTCCCCGAGCAGCACCAGCGCCTGAGCCTGGGCTGCCCGGTGCTGGACAGGCTCCTGGGCGGCGGGCTGCCTCTGGATGGCATCACCGAGCTGGCCGGCCGCAGCTCGGCCGGGAAGACCCAGCTGGCGCTGCAGCTCTGCCTCGCTGTGCAGTTTCCGCGGCGGTTCGGGGGCCTGGAGGCCGGTGAGTGGCTGCCCCTTTGGCGGAGGGCGGGGGCCATCCAGTCGGCTTTCGGGGTCCCAGCTATGTTCTTGGCCGCTGTCCTTCGGGGCCGGGACCCAGGGCCGACTGCTGCGGCTGGCGTCTTCCTCCTCACATGGCTCTGGGTGCCCTCCCCGGGGAGCGCGGCCAGCCCCGACCCCATGCGGAGCCCGAGGCCCCGTCGCGTGGGCTGGCCGGCAGCTCCCCACGGCCTTACCCGCGCAGGCGCTCGCTCGCCCCTGCCTGGTCCTGTGTGTGGCGTGAGCGCATTTTCAAGGCTGCCTGTTGGGTCCCCAAGCGCTAGAAAATCAGGGTGTGTTTTCTGCCTGTGAGAGCCCTGGAGCAGCTCTAGGTTTCTATGAAAACCTGCAGCGCTGATGTGCGGTTCCCCCGGGGCTCCGAGGTCGCACAGGGCACAGCACCTTCTGGCCGCTGACCCCCGAGAGCCCACGGCTGTGCCCGCTCCCCGGACGGGGCACCTACCCGGGCAGCGAAGACACAGTGTCACCGTGGGGCCTGAAAGTGGCACCAAGGAGTGCGGGCCGATGGCGCCCTGTGGGGCCACTTCAAAGGCTGTGGGCCCTGCCAATCCCACCGACCTCCGCTGCGGAGCGAGGGCTCAGGCCCCGGGGGCGGCCCCCAGGCGGGCGGGGGCGGTGCGGGGGTGCTGCCTGCCTGCCTGCCTGCCCGCCCCCCAGCCCGGGCAACGCCGGCTCGCGTGCGGTCACCCAGGGGCTGTGTACGTCTGCACGGAGGGCGCCTTCCCCCACAAGCGCCTGCAGCAGCTCGTCGCCCAGCAGCCGCGCCTGCGGACGGACGCTCCGGGCGATGCCGTCGAGAAGCTGCGATTTGGTGACCACATCTTCATCGAGCACGTGGCCAACGTGGTGAGTGCCCGGCGGGCGGGCGGGGCCCCAGCGCAGACCTCCCTGGGGACAGGCCTCACGCTCAGAGCAACGTCATTCATGACCAGTGTGTCGCTCGGGCTGAACCGGGCGGCCCGGGCGTGCTCTGCCAGCCCTGCGCATGGGTGGCGGGGGGCCTCAGGTCACCGCCCACCGGGCCGTGCGGCTGGCCTGGCCAGCGCCGGGACGCCGTGCGGGTCAAGCGATGAGGGGAGGGGCCCAGGAGACGTGGGCGGCGGGCGCTGCCCCAGACCGCACACGGGGCGGCCGCTCCAGCAGGTGGGTCAGGGCCTGGCCTGCCTTAGAGCTGTTAGAAAAAGAACGTCACGTGAAGGCATATAAACTTTTAATTTTAAAAAAATTTACAGTAAAGTACATCACACGCAGGGAAGGAACAGGGAACAGAGGCGGGCCTCCCAGATGCTGCCCAGAGGCAGCTGCGCCCGCCCGCCGTCCTCCGGGGTCCCGCCGGGCGGCGTGGTGGCTCGTGTGACAGTGTGTGCCGGGCCCAGGACGCGGGCTGTGGAGGGAGGTCCGTGCGGCGGTGCCCGAGCTCCAGGGCCCTCGGCCGGGGCAGCTGTCCCCTGGCCGTCACAGGGCCGGCCCCGGCCTCGCAGAGCAGCGTGGTCCCGCGTCCTGGGGTGGGCGGGGCGTCACTACAAGAGAGGGCGGTGGGTGGGAGCATCAGGGCCAGGCCACCAAGACCTGGTGGCCTTTCTGCTCCCACCCTCTGTTCTCTGCTCCCAGCTCTGGGGGAGACAGGCCTCCACCCTCTGCCGGGGACAGGTCTCCCCGCGGAGCCCCGCTGGGCCTCCTGGCCCTGCTCCCACCTGCCTGCCCCGGTGCCCGGGGCGCAGGACTCACGTTGACGGCGTCTTCCAGGGCGCTGCCTCCGCTGCCCTCCTGGCCCTGGGGTTCTCCTGCACACACCCTGGGGGCGGAGCACAGGGCAGGGTTTCGCCTCAGGACGTGGAACCACGGGGACCATGGGAGACAGCACTTGGGTGTTCTGACTAGACAGCCCGCGTTCGGCCGCCCAGCCCTGGGGCCCGACAGTCCCAGCCACCAGGGCTGCTCGGGGGACCGGGCACCTGCAGCCCCACCTGGGCCACGTGCGGCGTCCCGCTGTGCGGCCTGGGGCCGGGAGGACCGGGACTCCCGCCCTGCTGCCTCCCTCTCGCCTCTGCCCGGCTCAGGGCCACCCGGGGCACAGCTGACAAGGCCTCGTACTGGTGGCCCCAAGTCCAGGGGGTCAGAACCAGTTGTGCGGCCATGGAAGGAGGTCACACTATGGCTGGGGGGGGTCGGGTTCCCCACCAGGACTTGGTGAGACACCAGGGTGCACGGGGGAGGGGAGGTGTGGGCCCCCCCAAAGGTGACAGCCCCCCGCCCCTGGGCTTCCAGGACGCGCTGCTGGAGTGTGTGAGCAGGAGGGTGCCTGTGCTGCTGTCGCGGGGGTCGGCCCGCCTGGTGGTCATCGACTCCGTGGCGGCCCCGTTCCGCTGCGAGTTCGACGGGCTGGCCTCGGCGCGCAGGGCCCGGGCTCTGCAGGCGTTGGGGGCCACGCTGCGCCGGCTCAGCCAGGCCTTCCGGAGCCCGGTGCTCTGCATCAACCAGGTGGGCCGCCCTCCCCGTGCGCCCCCGCCCCCCCCAGCAGCTCTGCCGCTGACCCTCGGCTGACCTTCCAGGTGACGGAGGCCACGGAGGAGGACAGAGCGGCAGGACCGCCAGGGTGAGCGGGGCCCGGATGGGGGCGGGGGGGTGCGGCCTGGGGGCCTGGTGCCAGGGAGTGACGCCGGTGTCCCCTGCCGCAGGGCCCCGGGGGGGCGCCTCGCTCCGGCCCTGGGCATTGCCTGGTCCAACCAGCTGCTCCTGAGACTGATGGCCGACCGGCGCCGCCCCGAGGAAGCCGGGCTGGGCCGACCGGCCCGCACCCTGAGCGTCGTCTCCGCCCCCCACCTGCCCGCCTCGTCCTGTTCCTACACAGTCGGTGCCGAGGGCGTGCGAGGGACACCCGGAACCCAGACCTGCTGACCGGGGCCTGTCTCCGGCGGGGCCCTCCCTGTGTCGGGGCTCGGGCCCAGTCGGCCCAGTGCTCACGTCAGGGTCCCCACAAGGGCCGGCTCGGACTGGCCTGCCGGGAGCCCACGTCCCCTCCACCATGCCGGCCCCGGCGGGGCGCCCGCCACGGTCCCGGGGACCCCTCCCCGCGGGCTCTGCCGCAGCCCCCAGGGAGGGCTCGCCTCACCTCTCCCCCCGCCACCGCTGGGCGGACAGGCACCGGCGGGCGCGGGCTTGTGAGAGGTCGGCCCATCTGCTAGGAGAGCCGGTTCCGGGCGGACGAGAACCTCGTTTTAAAAAGAGCTGCATCCCAGCCCGTCCTCCGTGCCTCCCCAAGCCCGGCCTCAGCGGGGCAGGAGCCCTGACCAGGACGTGGTTGGACACCGGACAGGGCCACCTGCAGGCCCCCGAGGGGCTCCCGGATGGAAGCGGACCTCCTGCCAGCACCTGGGTTACCAGCTTGGCGGACTTGGAGCCTCGGGTCGCGGGCCCCGAGGCCCAGCCCAGAGGACGTGGCCGCTCTGTGTGTGGGCAGAGTGCACACCCGCCCTCTCCCCGGCGCTGTCCGGGGCTCCCGTGCTGCCTGGCCCGGGGCGGGGGCCTCAGACAGATACACATGTGAGCACGTGCGGCCGTGGCCCCTGACCCTCCACTGGTGACCTGCTCCAGGCCAGGCGGCCGCCCGCGTGTGGGACCCTGTGTCGCCCTGGCGACCAGAGCATAGGAGGGACCAGAGCTGAGGGACTCGGCCGCCCTCCTCAAACGGGCGCAGCTGACCCTGGGCGGTGCCAGCTCTGGGGCAGGCCTGCTGCTGGGGGCTTTCCTAGGACGGTCCACCTGTAGCTCCTGTCACGTTTTCAGAGTGGCCTGTGGCCCCACCAAGGTTGGGAATGGCTGGTGTCAACAAGGGAAGGGCAGGGGCTTTGCAAAGAGCCTTTCTGCAGAAGCACAGGGGACTTTGTGGCAGGAGAGAAGACACTTTATTTTTGTAATTAAATATAAACATTTTCAAGTGGTTTTCTAATTGAGTTGACACAAATGAGAAGAAACCAGGGCGCCAGGACAACAGACACGTGACAGACGATCCGGTGCTGGGTCCCCCGCTCCCGCCCGCCCCGCGCAGACCCGCCAGGAGCCCCCAGTTCCTGAGGCACGCGTGCCCCACGCCAGCTGTCCCGCCAGGGACCGGCACTGAGCCGCAGAAACCACGCTCCCCCCGCACGGCTGGTGCTCCTTGAAAACGGTGTGCGCACAGGTCGCCTGCCCGCATGGGGGGCGCTGGTGGCCTGAGCAGGCTCCCAAGCATGAACACGACACGTCGTGAGGCAGCCACGGACGTGCTATGCAGGGACACCCCATGAGGTCAGGACAGTTCTGCTCTGAGCCACAGGCCGGCGACACTTGCATCTCACTAGAAGCGCCGACTCATTATGGGGTGTCCCCAGCAGCTCCTTTGTCCCAGAGAGGACCCGCCTGAGCCCATCCAGTGCTCTGAGGTTGGCCAAAGGCGGGCTGGGGGCCCGCCGCCCCCTGCCTCGGGGAGAGTCGGCCTCTCCACGCCCACGAGTCCCCACCAGGGCTCACGACAGCCTGGCTCCCCCGAGGCGCCCTCACCAGCAACGGGAAGCGCTGCGCACCCGGCAGGAGCAGGGGGCGGGCAGCCGGGCCTGCAGGACGTTAGAGCAGCCCTTCTCCGCTTCTGGACAAACCAGAAATCAGAGGCTGCCGACACCCGCGCAGGCCCCCTGGACGCAGAGGCTGTCGCAACAGCTTCAGACCCTCCACCTCACCCCCTGAACGCTCAGCACAACTTACAGGGGCACCACGACTCTGAGGGGCCCTGGGAAGGGTCCACACAGTCGGGGCCGCCAGCCGCTCAGTTCAGTTCTGTTCAGGGCCCCCGCCCCGAGGAATCAGCCCCCAGGGGGACGGTGGGTTTCAGAGCCAGCCCTGCGGCCGTGGGGGAGCAGGTGCTGAGCGGAGCTGAGGCGGCCCAGGGACGCTCCTGGTCCAGTCCCCCCCCCCCCCCCCCCCCCGCCCCGGGGCAGCGCCCCCACCACACCTCCCCAGGTGGGCTTCCGAGCCGCTGGTCCTGCAGGCACTTGACTGCTCCTTCCGCAGTTTCTTACGACCCACGGAGACTCTGTGACTGGGAAAGTCAGCCCCCATCCCAACGTGCGAGATCTAACGAGTCAGGAGCCAAGTGCATGCAGCCACCAGCTGGGCTGCGGGGAGCCGGAGAACTGAGGCCAGCCCCCCGGGACCAAAGTGCACTGTCACCAGCAAGAAGCCTGCGCCACGAGGGAACGCCACTAAACCGTGCGGAGCTTCTGAAGAAGTTTCAAGTCCAGCCTTGCTGTGACGAAGCCCCAGGTCCCCTCGTGGCCTCCAAGGCACCACAGAGCGGACCTCGGAGAGCTCCCCGCCCCCTCTCCCCTGAGCCAAATCCCTCAGGGAAAGACAAAAGCCAGCCCTGCTGGGACACCGCTGTGTCCCTGCATTAGAGGGAAGTACCTCCCACCTGGGGGCCTTCGCGAGGACGCTCAGCGTGTCAGAGCCCTCCAGCCTAGAGTGACTCCGAGCTCCCGGCGGGCATGTGCCCCTTTGTACGCACACCAGACGTGGTCATCTGGAATCAATCCATCATCTGCTTACTGTTTCCTTCACCTGCTGGCTGGGCCTGCAGGTTCCCGTGAGGAGCAGGCCCTGGGGTTGATGCAAAAATGTTCCTGCCAAAACCCATCCTGCGTTACTTAACTGGACAAGAAGAGCTTTTTCGGAAATGAAGCGCACGGCTCCGTGGGCGTGGCACACAGGCCAGGGCTCCACGGGTGGACGTGGGAGCCCAGGGGGGCGGGGGGGCCCCACGCTGGAGCACACCCGAGGGACTCCTCCCGCCACCCTCTCCCCCTGCACCCCAGCATTCCTGCCCCAGGCCGCTGGGCGCCTACTCTCCAAGGATGGAGTTTAAGGTTCCAGATTCCCCTACAGCCTGTTAAGTATCGCATTAATGACACTGAACTTAAGTTAGACTTTGAGTCATGCAGAAAGTGCACGTGTCCGTGAGTGGCGGCTGAGTCCAAGCTGAAGCGCTGCCGGGCCCTGTGTGCGCCCTGGGCCGCCACGCCCGGCGAGCCGCACGGTCGTGCTTCAGCAGCGCTCGGCCACGAGGCCTGCAGACCACGCAACAGAGTCGGGCGGACCTCTGCGGTGGGGGAGGTCGCCCCCAGAGAAGGGAGCGGGCGGGGCCTCGCCCCGGGCGCCGGGGACGCGGGGCTCAGCTAGCTGGGCCTCGGCCCGCAGTGGGCCAGGTCCGTGTGGCTGGCACTCACGGCTCTCGAGTCTGCTAGACAATTATTTCGTTCCTGCGTGAGAAAACAAATGGAAAAATTATACTTAACCAGCACGTCCAATCTCGAGCGGTCTCGACTCTAACGGTGACAGCCACACGCGCGTCCAACGCTCAACCGCACAGGTGCGACCAGGGGGCCCAGGAGGGCCGGGCTGTGTCCACCGCCACCCGGAGCCCACAGCTCCCCGCTCTCGACGGCGCGGCGTGAGGCAGAGCCCGCGCCTCCCGCCGCCGTGCCGGCCCCTCCCCCGGGTGCAGCCCTCCCAGGCGCTCGGCACGCCCGGGACGCAGCGCCAGGCGGGCGGCGGCCTGACTGTGCCCCACAGCCACACCGGACAGAAGAAACAAAAAGGCCGTTTCCGATGGAGAACAGATGCCCACAGTCTCCCGCGTGAAGGTGGCAGGTTCATGCACAATGGGGACCAAGTGCTCACGGCCACAGCGTCAGTGACAGTAGGTCAGTCACGTTAGTAAAGTTTTAAATGGTTTGAAGACACTGAACAACAGCTTAACGAGACAGTAATTAGTTATAAACTCATTAGAGGCTAAAATTATACAAATTAACAATACAAATAAATGATTGGCTAAGTTTTGAAATTACATTATCAGAATATTTTGTTTTTAATTAAGTCAATCAGACTGGTTTTCAAAGTCATTGATTAATTTACTGAGAACGCTGATGCCGTAAACATTCTCGTAATCCCCAGCCAAGTTACCGCAGACTAGATGTCGCCGCAGTGCCTGTCTGTACAGGCAGCACGCGTGTGGGGACACGGGGCGGAGGGCCCGCGAGGGCCTGCAGCCGCCCGCCCGCCTGGCCCAGGGAGTCAGGGGCGGGAGGGGCCGGGCTCCTTACTTGGAAATGGTCTCCGGCCGCCTTGCCGCCCACGTTTAGGACGTTCAGAGAGCTGGCACGCTTCATGCTGCACCCAGGACATGGACATGCAAGGACAAACGTCAGCACACGGTCAGCCAGGAGCAGGAACACAGCAAAGCCACCCAAGGCCTGGGGCTGCTGGGGCGCCTCCCTCTCACTGGGACAGGGACCTCCCCGCCGACCGCGCCGCGCACGTCCCAGGTTGGTGCGCAGTGCTCAGCAGGGAAGAGCGGTTTCTCTGTCTTCTGGCCAACAGAGCTGCCCCAGAACACCGCGTACATGCTCCCGTGCCGTGCGGTCTCGCTTTTTGGAACCTGCTCCCACTGGAGCCGAGAGGCTCTGCCGCGGCGGGTCCCGGAGCCCGGGGCCTCCCCCGGTGGGTTTCAGGAAGGGAGCCGGCAGGCCCATGTGAGACACACCACCCTGAGCGCACCTTTTAAAGAGGGGCGGACACACCCAAAACTCGCTGGGGAGACCAAATGCATGAGTGTGTTCTGTGCTTTATGTATTTTTCTACATTAAAGGTAAGAAAAAACTTTTTTCATTAGTAAAATAAATTCTGAAGTTACTATTTCTCTGCTTACAAATCAAAATTTAAAACAAGTTTTATGACTCTTACATATAATTTTTTTTCCCATTGATACGTTTAAAATACTTGACGAAATACCCTGCAAATTACCTACAACCTAAATTTAAATTACAACCGTATAATTAACTGCTTACTGCCCTCACATATGCCGTCCAACAGAAGGTCACCTTAGCTTTTAAAGCTCATAAAACCAAACCCCGGGCCGCTGTGCCAGCGTTTACGACAGGATCTGCAACTCCAAGTCTGAACGCCACGCAGCCTCGGAAGCGACCTGAGGGCGCGGCCGTGAGGCCGGAGCCTCAGCTGAAGGGCTGGTGCGACCAGGCTGAGGCGAGAGGGCCAGAGCCGGGGCGCGGCCGTGTGTCCACAGCAGGCGCGGCGCTCTCGCTGGGTGAACCCCACCAGGGGCAAGGAAACATGTGCCCCCGAGCAAAGCGCACGCCCCGAATGTCCACGCCAGGGCCAGCACCCGGCGCCCCGGCCCCTGGCCCTGCTGGAGCTCCGAGTGCACTTTTTTGTACTTAGAACAACCGGAAGACAAAGGATAACACCGCACAGGCCCGGCGACCAGCACAGTCGCGCCTTGGACCGCAAACGCCTCCCACCTCCGGCTGCTCGGCGCCCGCCCCAGCTGTTCCTGGAGACACGAGTCCCGGCTGCTGAGCGGACGCCCGGCTCTCGCCCCCGCCCTTCGGTGCCGGCCCGCAGGCCACTGCGACTCCGGCGGGAGGACACGGCGCCATTTTCCACCGCGTCGCTTCCCCGCTGCGCCTTCCTGGGAGAATTAAGTCCAAGACCCGGATTCCACCGCACACTGTGGCGTCTGCAAGCTCCCCCACTTGCCTGGACAGTCACCCTTTCCTAAGGAAGCCACACTCCCTCCCTCCTCAAACCCTGGGTCCCTCCAAGACAAGTGAAGCACCACCGGACTCCTGTCCCCGACCCTCCCCGACGTCCCCGGACCCCAGGAGCTTGAGCGGCACCTCACTCACTGGGGTCACGCCCGCGGGCTGCACGCGCTGCCCCCGGAGCTGCCCGAGCCCGGTCCCTGACTGCAGCGAGCGACCGCCCTGCCCGGGCACCAGAGCCGCCCCATCAGCCTCTGCCCTCGAAGCCCAGGACACGCCGCCACACGCCCAACTTCGAAAAGCACTGGGCCAACTGTCCCTTTTCCCTGCAAAGCCTGCTCAGCTGTACGGACGATTTTCATTTAGGTTGTTAAACAGTTCGTTCAGGTATCACCTCAAACAAGACCACACAGGAAAACGCTGCGTATTCCAAGCGTGGGGTCGGCTCCCCCGCCCCGGGCCGGGCGGGGCGCGCCCTGCGAGGCATGCACACGCGCCCCGCCTCGGCCCCGCAGGGCGAGAGGGAAGCCCAAGCGCTGTCCCCGGGCCGGCAGGGCCCAGTGACAGGACGCCAGGCCAGAGTGGGACTCGGCGTCACACACCTTCGGGACGGGTGCAGCCTCGGGACGAGACCAGATCACCTCCCCACACCACGTGGGCCCCTCCGGTGGCCTCCTCAGCGGACAGCCTGCTGCTGCGGAAAAGGGCCTGTGAGCAACCTGAGCGGCCGGCCGACGCCCCGCCCAGGAACCCACCGCCCCGTCGTCAGGCGGCCGCCCCCGAGCAGAGGGCGGCTGGGCGCCATGCGCGGGGCCGGCTGGGGCGGGTCTCCGGTGAGACCCCAACGGACGAGGCGGGGACTGAGCTTGCAGCACCTTAAAACCCAGAAGGGCGCCTGACTCTCCCGCTCCCAGGATGTTGCCCAAGGAACCGGCCTCGCAGCCCTGAGGCCTGAGGCCTCTCGCCCACAGAACGGAACACAGAACCACTTTTAAAGTCGAGTTTCACAACCAATAAAAAGTAGGTGCCATTTTGAAAGTTAGAGCTTCACAGAGGGGCTGAAAAAGCCGTGCTTCTGTGAGAAACGCATCCAAACGCTGGGGGCCACCCCACCAGCAACGACCTAGCAGCACTGAGCCCGACCACCGAGACCCGACCGTCGACAGGCCTCCTAGGAGCAAGGAACTCAGACCCGAGTGCCTCCAACAACCTGCATGTGCTTGTTTAAAAGACTAAGACGGACGACGGAAACCACTCAGGCGCACGGAGGGGGCTGCTCTAGCGCCCTGAGAAGCTCCGTGGGGCCCCGGGGCCCCAGGAAACTGTCCCCTCTGCAGCAGGACCTCCGTGACCCCAGCATCGCCGGAGCCAGCTTCCCATCTTGTGGGACTAAAACTATTTTAAAGGGCGCTAAACGGACGCGGGGTTTTGGCAACGTCACGCACCTCTCAGGTGCACACGCTCACGTCCTTTTCCCTGACCAGGCACCGCACCCCGAGGTGCCGCCTTTCCCTGACCACAGCCCCGAGGCCTCTCAGCGGGAAGCGCCCCCGGGCCTGGCCTCCCCTGGGAGGACAGGCCCCAGGGACGACGGAGCCCTCGTGGCCGAGGCAAGGGCCCGAGCTGGGGCGTCTCTGTGGCCGCCGGTGCGGGGGCAGGAGCGGCCGTCAGACAGGGCGGCGGGCGGGGCAGAGAGTTACCCGGGGTCCTTGGGCTCGGCCTCCCGGGAGCTTCCGCCCTTCAGCTTCCTCACCAGCTTCTCGCTGCTGCGCCGGATGGAGGCCCGGAGTTTGCTGAAGGAGCCGCTGCGCCGCAGCGACCCCATGCCGTCCTGGAAGAGACAGGGACAGACATGACGCTGCAGGCGGCCTCCCTCCCACCCCAGGCAGAGCTGAGCGTCAGCGGGCACACAGGCTCGGCCGGCTCACGGGGGCGGCGGGCACCCGGACCCCACAGCAAGGCCCGCTGGCCATGGTGGGGAGCCGACGTTAAATCAAAATCCACCCATTTTAAGTTCCATTAAAACCACCTAACGATCATGGAAACTCTGACCCTGAAAAAGCTCAAACTGAAGTAACAGCCCCACATGAAATTAATTACACTGCTGTTTTGAAACAAAACATACAGCCTTTCAAGACAATTAAGGAGTTTCTAGGGCCGACCCTGAAATTGAATTCCCCATTTAATAAACGGGCCCAAGTGCGTGGGTCTGACAGGCCAGCTCCTTCGAACAGCCGTCGGGATAAGATACTTACACGTGCTGTTTCTTCAGTGCATTTTAGCAAACTTTTATTCAACATTGATTACAAATGCGGTTGGAAAGTTTAAATAAGTGCTTACTCTGTACAAATAACCAAACCCCTCAGACACCTTTGAGAAGCGAGGAAGAGTGCCCCCCTCCCGCCGACTGAGACGTGACCAAGGACACACTGGCGGCGTGACGGTCGAACACGCAGGGCAGGACGGGGCTCCAGCGACTTCGATTCTCCCAGTGACCCGCCCAGCGAGGGACCAGCAGCCCGCCCCCCCGAGAAGCTGCGCGACGCCGCGCTCCCCAGAAGGAGTAGCCGGCTGAGAGCAGACAGACACCAAGACTCCGGGCAGCTGGAGCGAGTTTATTAGAAGTTAGAGAGACACAGGTCACCAACACGCAGGGTTAGTAGAGGGAAGCAGAACTGCGAGTTTTCACACACAGACTACACAGCGGGTGCTACTGGAGGGGCCTGGGGCGTGGGGCCCGCGGACAGCGGGGGCACATGCCCTACGCGCAGGCCTAGCGAGAGTCGGGGTCGCGGTCACGCCGCCGCAGCGGCCCCGCGGGACACGTCCCACCACCTCCGCCGACGTGAGCTGCTCATCGTTCTTAATTCTTAAGCTCCTATGTTACACAGTACGTGGTTTTTATTGATACAGATTTGTTACTAAGTACATATCTGGCAAAGCTACGTGTACACAGAGACAGGGAACCCCCGAAAGGACAGCAGCACCGAGAGGAAGGGCCAGTCACAGAGGCGCGGCTCTGACAGAGTCCTAGGTCGCTAGACGCGCAGGCAGCACGGAGGGAGGCGGGAGCCGCAGGCGCCGCCGTCATGCAGGAGACAGAGCCTCGCGGGCGGCTAGGCCTGTCGGACAGAAACGGAGAGAGAAGCCCAGGTGAGACTCGGGCAGCAGCCTGTGCCCGCGCCGCGCGGCTCCCAGCGGCTCCAGGTCACGCCGCCTCGCGGCGCGGCTGCGGCATCGGCCTCGGGGTGGCCGCTGGCCTGCACAGCCCCGCAGGGAACCGCGCTGGGCCCGACGCGCCCCCGTCACCTGGCCGGGCGCCCTGATCCCCTCCGCCAGTCGGCCCGGGCCAGGGACCTCCCTGACGCCGGCTGGGAAGAGGCTTCCCGGCAACCGCGCAGCAGGAGGTGCCGCCTCAGGAGCCGCCGCAGCACCCAGGGAGGCCGCTCGGGCGTGGCTCACCCACGGCCTCACCTGGTTGCCTCATGGCCCTGTGCGGGGGGCGGAGCGGGGGGGCGCCTCTTCAAGTCAGGGAGGGCTTCCTCCTGAAACACGGACGCGCCAGACGTCGCAGAAGCGTTCGGAAACCGCCGCCTGCACAGCCTAAGCGCGCACTCGACGACCCAACGCCCAGCCCGCCGCAGAGAAAGGGCTGCCCAGCAGGCGGGCGTCCTGGGCCCTGGCCGACAGAGACGCGGCGGCCCTGCCTGCGCCCCGGGCGCGGGGCGTGGGGCCCCGCCCGGTCCGACTCGCCAGGTCATTCAACCAGCCCCAGCCTCATTTTTCTCATCTTTAAAATGGAAAAGTAGAACTTGTTACCAACTCCCCACGGATGCTGGGAGGACAAGAAAACATTAGTTCTTGCTTCTCTTCAGAAAAAGACTGTTACAACATTAACGTGGTTCCATAAATAGCACACCTCTGCCATTCATTTCAAACTTGTGCGCTCACTGCAGCGCCCAGTGTTCAGCAGGGGGCGGTCCCGGAGGCGCACGCCCCCCCATCCCAGCCGCGCCCGGTGCCTGGGGCCAGGGCAGGGCTCCACCCGCCCTCACGCGCAGCAGCTTCCAGTCCGTGATACCAGAGGGGCCCCAAACCTGCCAATTTCCCCCAGGCCGGTGCTGGGGTGGCTCCCTGGCCGCCGGCACCTGCGGCGCATCAACACGGCCTGGCCGGAGCGGCAGCAGGTTTCCAACAGCGGTGAACGGCCTGCGGCATCGGCTACAGACACACAGCAGTGCTTACCACCTGGGATTTCAGGTCATCTGCTGTTCTTAACTTTTTTATGTATACTCCAGCTGCCTTCCTAATATAACCTTTAAATAAAAGTTGATCTGTTTCTAATTACCAGTACATCCCATTCCCCAGGAATCCTGGGGAAGAGCTCGATGTGCTGGTAGCTCTCAGACACAGGTGCCGCGTGGAAAGACCACGAAGAGAACTGGGCGGGGGGCGCCCCCAGGGCTCAGTGGCAGCACGCGGCCTCTGGAGGCCACCCGGACGGAGCGCAGGGGGCCCAACTTCACCCGAAAGGAGCCCTTCGACGCAGCGCCTGCGCGGCTCCCCAGCGCCGTCCACCGGCTCTGCGTGCGAGGCCTGCGGGAGGCCGTCCCACAGCCCTGAGTGCGGCGCTCACAGCGCCGACAGGCAAGGACAGCAGTGAGCCCCGGGCGCGTCGTCCGCGCCAGGAACCGCATCGCAGCCTCCACACCCCTCGCTGGCCAGTCCGCTGCCTGCCTTGCCTGGGTTTCAAGTGCAACAGCGCAGGGTTTGCCGGGCTCTGGCTCCCACCCGCCCCCCCTGGGGAGGGGCCCGCGACCACAGTGCCCCTCCGGGGCTGCGACTTCCGGGCTTCGCACAGAGCACTGAAGTTCTTCGTAAAAGCTAAGCTCTCATCCGAACCCAGGTGCAAAATAGAACTGAAGTGGCATTTTCTCACTAGAAATGTGTCACAAGTCCTTAGGACAACACAGGAAACCAGCGAGAAAGTGGGTGCCGCTCTGTGACCCGTGGGATCTGCGCGTGGCGGTGAAGATCTGGTCCCCACGCCTCCCCGCCCCACAGCTTCCGGCCGCACCCTGCCCTGGCGGCACCCACCCAGGACACCCCCGTGCACATGGGAGTGGGGTTAGCCCTGGGCTGGGCAGCCCCCGGGAAATCCGCCCCCACGAAGACGGCGAGCGAGCCGTCCCCGCCAGGCCGAGGATGGGAGGGGGCAGCGGCGTGTCCACGTCTTGGCAAGTGGGGCCCTCAGACCGTGCTCCCGGTTGTAGGCGATCACACCTCAACACAGTGGAACTGAGAAATGCCCTCCTCGCTGCCTCTCGTAAGGAATGGCATGCGGGTTGGAAACAAAGCCTGCGTCCAGCTTTGGCGAGCTCGGCCTCACCTCCTGGGAACCGTCACGCCTCCAGGAGGCCAGTCTGAGGGCCGAGGCCCTCCTGTGAGGGGACGGTGGGCTGGGCCGGAGCGGTGGCCTCGGGGATGGGGGGCGGCCCCGTTTACTTGCTGCTCTCCCTGAGTCCCACGCACAGAGCGGGCTCCTCCCGCACCCCCAGCGAGCTCCGGAGCCCCTGGCGGAGCCCTGTCTCCAGAGAGGGACTGTGTCCAGGACAGAGCCACAGTGCTCCGACATCCAGCTAGAAGGCGTCTGCAGCCCAGCAAGCGCCGCCCCCCAGGACGGCACATGCAGAGGGAGGGAGGAAATGGGAAGTGAGGGCCCTGGGCATCCCCACAGGCGAGCACCGTGCCCTCCCAAGCCTCTGTCCTGAGGACAGGCGTCAGTGCCCGTGCGCCCTCATGGGGCACAGGCGGGCTGACCGGGAAACACTGTCCCGGGAGCGAGGCCCTGCAGAGCCTCAGGGGAGGCGGGCGGCTGAGGGCGGCTGAGGGCGCCAGGGGCATAGCGCATGCCAGGCCCGCGGGGACAGGAGTGGGGACCGCGGCCCAAGGGCAGGTGGTCACAGCAGATGCTGACTGGTTGTCTTGGCCCAAGGAAAAACAACAGCAACGCGCCACCGGACCGACGGCCCGGAAAACATCCTCCCTGAAACTCTGGCCACTAACATCCTCAACAAGATGCCTCCCCTGCAGGCTGATCTTCGCCCAACTGCCACAGCTGAAGGAGGCCCCAGGGAACAGGTTTAAAAACATAGACAAGAAAGCCTGGAACTATTAGGCAAAACACCTGCACAACTACGGCTTAAAGTACACTCCTGCGGCTTCCAAACCAACCCCAAGCGCCCTCCCCCGCGGACGGCCCTCCCCACAGACCCGCCCACCGGGCCCTAGCAGGCGCCAGCAGCCTGGCCCATGAAATCAGGGCACTGGAGTCAGCGAGGAAAGCGGTCGGTTAAAAAAGCGGGTTAGTCGTCTGCCACACTAGTGGGTGATAGCGTGAACCCCGACCGCGGACTCCGCCCCGACCCCCAGGACCCTCAGCCAGCGCCTGACGCGCCCCGCGGAGCCCAGAAGGAAATGACCACGTCGGACAGCGGACAGGACACAGCGTGAGCACGAGGCGAGGACTCAGAAAAGCCTGGCTGGAGCCGAGCCGCAGAGAGGGAGCCCAGGGCGGACGGGCTGGGGGGCGCCGGCGCCGCGCACTGTACTTACCCCGGTCCACTCTACGCCCATACTCACTTCCTCCCCTCCGTCCGGGCCGCTCTCGTACTTGACCGTGTCCGCGGTCAGGCTCTCCCGGCTCCGGCGCTTCTCCGAGCTCTCGGGGTCGCCCAGCACTTCGGCCACGCGCTGCTTGTGCGCTGTGTCCAGGCCCTGCAGTTGGGTGAGGGAGGGGCCATGTCAGCGGTCCTGCTCGCAAGCGGCTTCCCTAGGAAACGACCGAGGCCCGGCTCCCACCAGGGCGGGCACGTGCCCCGGAGATGGGCCCCCCTGCCCCCCCATTTAAGTGGACAAGGCCGAGCCCCAGCGAGGCCCTGAGGCGCACACGCTGGACGCACCAGAGACAGGCCTTACGTGGCAGGCAGAGGTGCGCTGAGTGCGGGAACAGCGTGAGGGGCCCGGGGGCGGGGCCACGGGCTGGGCCCCCCAAGGTTTCCGCCTGCATGGCGTGTGGCGGGGGTCTGGGGGGGTGCCCTGTTTGGAGCCCTTCTCCGCCTATGCCCTGGCGCTTCACACGGTCAAAGCACACACGTGGCTGCAGGCTCCCGGGTCGCCCTGTCCCCAGCACAGCATTTGGACCACCAGCCTCCAATCGCAGGAGGCGCAGGCGGCAGGCACCTCAGGCCTTCAGGGCGAACGCGCAGGGGGCCTGACACAGAGCAGCCACTTCCTGTCACTTCCGTCCCCCTGGCAGCCGAGGGGCAACTCGCCCCAGTCCCCGTGGGCTCCTGCCCTGGGTCTCACACACAGGCGTGTGCAAACGCCGCAGCTGCACCTCCTGCGCCGTCCTCCCTGGGAGCCGCGAGCCCCGCTGGCCCTGCGTCCTGGATACGCCGCCCACTCTGGATGTGGTCACTTAGAGGAGGACCAGGTCCCCTTCCATGCTCCCTTTTCAGACTGCACATTGGTGTCACTGGCCTTCTCTGCTGACCCAAGGCAGGCCTCGGCCGCTGCCCCACCTCCCTCGCGGACACGCTGCATGGGGCCCGCGGGCTGCTTCCCCATCCAGCCCGCCAGGGACCCCACCGCCTCCAACACACGTGCACAAGCACTGCTGGCTCCGGCCGCCCGGGCCGCTCGCCCAGGTGCACCTGCAGCTCCGCCCCCAGCCCGCGAGGGCCCCCGCCAAGGCCCTGTGCCACCTCGCCCTAAAACCGGGTGTCCCGCCCGTCCCTCCACACCGCCGTCCCGCTCGCCGGCGGCCTCCGCGGCGGGGCCCCCGTGTTCCCAGCGCAAGAGGGGCCTGCCCCTGCGCCAGGGGGGCCTCCTTCAGGCCCGCGCCCCAGGGCTGCTGGCCTTGAATTCGGGCTAAGGAACCAACAGCGTGTGCTAAGTGTGCTGTCTTTAAACGGAAACACGCCCAGAACAAGGTCACAAATTGGTCAGCTGATGACAACGTGACCGCAGCTCGTGGGGACCTCACGCTGCACTTCCCCGGGAGAACCTGCGGATTCAGGCTCACGGCGACCTTGTCGGCCGAGCTCCCGCGAAGGACGAGCGCCAGCGGCGTCCGTCTTGAGCGCCTCTGTCCAGTCCACTCGGGCGTGGGCGTGGGCCTGGGGTGGGGCTCGGCTCCGCCCGGCGGGCCGCCCACCAGCAGCACAGGGGCGCCGGCTCCTGGCTCTGTCCGGTGCCTCCGGCGGCCGCCCTCAGGGCGTGAGGCAGCCCCTCGCCGCCAGGTCAAGCCGCGCTCCCAGCAGGAATGGGAGGCCGGGCGCCTCCCGGGTGCACTGGCAGCGCGTCAGCCACTCCGCAGGCGTGTTCTCACGTGGTCCTTCCGCCACCGCGCACTCTGGACCCGAGACCCGCGTCGGCGCACGGGTGTCCCCTGCGCCGCCCCCCGCGGTGCCCAGCACCTCTGCCGTTGGTGAAGCGGACTGACCGCGCTCTTCCTTTGCTGCCTGAGCTTGCGGTCTCACGCTCCTGACGTTTGATAAAATACCATCTCATCTGTGAGAACTGAAACACTGCAGGCTTCCTGTTCTCCCCCAGCGTCTCCGTCAGTCACAGAGGCGCATCGTGCACCCCCGAGCGCGGGCAGGGGAGCCGGCGTGGGGTCCTCTCACCGACCTGTTTGCGGGACCTCATGGCCGCTTCCTCCAGCGTCTCCGCGGCCTCGAACTTGCCCTGGCGCCGGTACAGCGCCCCGAGGTTCTTCAGGGTGGTGGTGACCGTGGGGCTGCGGGGAAGCGCACGGGGGCGTCTGAGAGAAGCCCCCCCCCCACCCCGCCCACGGCCTCGGGGCGGCAGTTTGGTTGGAAGCCCTTTCGAATTCTATGGCACCTTTTTCCATGTAAATTGTTAGCAAGCTCTCCTGTCCCCAGCAGCCCCTGCCCGCCAGGGCCGTGCGGGCGAGGTCACCGCGGGCCCCGTGCCCTCTCCGGAGGCGGCTGCTCAGACCACAGCCACCCCGTCGGCAGGGGCGGTTGTGGGTCTGTCCGGTGGCCGCCACGCCTCCTGGCGCACGAGGAGGACGTGCAGGGGAGACGGAGCGAGCCTGGGCCTCCACATCAACAGCAGGAGCACGGGGCCCGGCAGGGACACGGGGGCGCGGCGGGGACACACGGGGGGGCGCGGCAGGGACACACGCGGGGGCACGGCAGGGACACACGCGGGGGCACGGCAGGGACACACGCCGCGGACAAGCCGAGAGCCCCTGCCGGTGCGGACGGGCACCTGCAGCGACAGGCATGTGGCCGCTGACACGGCCGCCCAGTCAGGATGGGGTGCAAAGCCTAGGACTCTACGCGTTTGTTAAGTGCTATGGGGCACCCAGGTGGGGGCCAGAGAGCCCCCCCGAAGCAGCTGACCAGCACGCAGGGTCCCCAGGGGCGGCCGGCGTCTGGACAGCGCAGGAGAGGGGCCCCACGGGGAGCACACGGGCATCAGTGGCCTGGCGGGGGAGGGGCCTGGTTCAGCGCCCTCTGCGGACGCCGAGGGCAGCGAGGGCAGGGGGTGCAGCCTGGGATCCCCCTGAGGCGTCCCAACAGGTGTCTGGGAAACGCTGGCTCTCGCAGGCCCGCAGGCCTGACTGCGGCCACCTGAGACGGGTCCCCACTCAGCCACCTTCTGCGGTTTGGGAGGCAGCCTTGGACACGGCGGTGTGCGTGGGCAGGACCCGTATTTCACCCACACGGCAGGGGCCTTCCCAGTGTCCGTCACTGGAATTTGGGGAGGCCGGACGGCGCACGCACAGCCCGTGGGGACGCCCGCGATGCCGTCATGGGCTGCGGCCGCCCCGAAAGCGCCAGCGCCCTCCACGCGGCCACGTCCCGGGGACAGACGTACCTGTCGACCTTGCAGGCTTTGTACCAGCCGCCATACTCGCCGAACGACGGCCCGTCCTTCTGCTTTCCCTAAAGCACAGAAGGCCGCCACCGGTGAGCGGCTCTCCAGAGCGCCCCGCCCCCCGGAAGCCCCCCGGACGGCGCCTTACTTTGCACTCCTCTCTCTCTTCCGCGTGCATCCAGATGGGCTTGTTCTCATCTGCGGGAGGAAACACAGTCCTGTGAGCAGTAGCTGCCGAGCTGAACGACCGCCAGGTCCTGCTGTTTCCCATGATGCTTTGCAGACACGACTCCTCACAGCTGGGCAGGGACGCTCACGAGAGGAACAACCCCTGGGAGGACAGACCCCCCCAGCACGACACGCAGGCGGGGTCTGCCTCCTGTGCTCGGTGCACAGAGGCTCGGAGTCCCGAGCACCAGACCTGGGAGGCAACTGTCAAACACACGGGACCATGCCAGTGTCCCCACCACAAAGCTCCTTCAGTGCCAGAACCTGCACATGACACTCGGGAGTTTTAAAATCTGAGCAAACTAGCATTAAACAAAAATCTAGTTAAAAGGGAGTAAAATGTTGGGAGCTAGAGTAGAAGAGATACAAATCGACATGCCTGTCAAGTCTCCCTAACTGGCCCTGGCCCTGTGAGCCCAAGAGTCGCCGGTTCGATTCCCAGTCAGGGCACAGGTCTGGGTTGCGGGCCCAGTGGGGGGCACGAGAGGCCACCATACATAGACGCTTCTCTCCCTCTCTCCCCCTCCTTCTCCTCCGTCTAAAAGTAAATAAAATCTTTTAAAAATGCAGGCTCCTTAACTTTTGAGAATAACCACACACACCGCCCACCCAGTTTCTAGGCGACAAGCGCCGCCGGCAGGGATGCCAGCGCTCAGACGCGGGGCTCGCGGGATCGCCTCGGTGCCGTGAAGGGGCCCTCAGCTACGCGGCACGGGAAGACGGCAGCACACGCACTACCTGCGGCGCCCGGGCTCAGTCCTGTGTGTCGACGGGCACAGGAAGGAGACACTGAAACCTGAGACACGCCTGGAGGATGACATGGCGGCCGGTCACATTCCCGCCCCCGCGTCAGCTTTGAGGTGCCCACACAAGCGCCTGTCTGGGGTTCTAGGGGGAGACCACGGCCGGCCCAGTCCAACCGCCCGCCAGCTACCAGGCCCCGGGAGCCACTCGGCGTGGGCGGCCCTGCCCATGAAGTGGGGCGTCGGACCCACCCCACAGGCTGCTCAGAGAAGCAAACGAGCTTCCACGTTTGAACTGCTCAACCGACACGCAGGACGCGGTTCACTCTCAAGACCGCCCTTGCGTCCCGGGAGAAGCGTGGAGCTGGCGTGCGATGACCACATCTTCCCTTGTGCTGGGGGGGGGGGGGCGCGTGGCCGGTCTCAGGAGCAGGGATGTGGGCTCCCTCTCCAACAGCGCCCCGAGGCACACGGCCCCTCCTGAGGGTCAGTGTGAGTCCTGACCGCCCCACCCTGACTGGTGGCCCCAGTGCATCCACACGCTGAGCATGGCTGGAGCCCACCACATGCCCTCGGAGGCCTCGCTGCCCACAACGGACCAGGCCGCGGACCTGGGGCAGCCGCCGCGGGTGAGGGCCAGCCCCGCCACACTGCGGGCAGGCCCTGGGCAGAGCAGGGCCAGGACACGCTGGCATCCCACACACGGGGCCCGTCTGCCTAGCGTGTGTGCAGGCTGACTCCAAGTGTAGCAAAGCCACTTTTAACCAGAGCCCACTCAGCAGACCCCAAGTCCTGCTCCACGGAGTAACAGAGGGAGACACTGACACACTTTTCCGAAGTGGTTTCCAGAAACTCTTCCTATAGAAGCAGCTCCTGAACCCAAACCTCTCCTTCCCAAAACCTCCTGAGGTCCCCTTTCTGAAGGGCTGTGCATCACCCACCAGAGGGAAAGGTGCCATGCAACACGCGGCACCACCCCGCTGAGCAGCGGAAACCCGGTAAACCTTCACCCCAACTGAGCGCCAAGTACTGTACCACCTCAACGGGTGAGAAGAGACAGGCCGCGCTCTCCGAGGCACTTCAAGAGCCCAGCCGGCCTCGGGTGGGTGGAGAAGGTGCATTGCTGGCCGGTCCCTGCCGGCACTTTGAGAACCACTGGAATACGGAACATTCTACAAAGCGTGAATGGCTCCGGGAGGTTTCCTAGAATCGGCACATCCAGGCTGTGCCTGCAACGCGTGTGGGCTCTGGCGCGGGCAGCACAGGCCCGGGAGGCGGGTGGCCCTCGGCCCCCGGCGTGGAGATGCGGCACGAGGGTGCGCTTGTCAGCCCACCACCGCAGGACACACAGAGGGGCGGACGGGCCCTGCTGTGCCGCATCCTGTCCTCCAGGTGCTGCCGTGCGGGAGAGATGGCTTCTGAACCCCCAGCTCACGGCGCCCTGGCCCCCGCGAGGACAGGGCCCTGCCCGCGTCCGGCCGGTCCCGGCTGTGTGGTGCCCTGACAGGGGCCTGCTTCTTACCGTCAACAGACCCGAACTCCCGTTCGTGCGCGCGGGTGAGGATCTCCTTGTACAGCGTTTCCGCCTGCTTGAACTTCCCTTGCTTCAGGTAGCAGGAGGCCTTAAAATAAAACGAAGCACTCAGTGTGCTTTACATGCAAGGGAAGCACACAGGCTTCTCGACAGGTTAGGCCGCGAAACAGTGCAGATCTCGAGGGGGAGCAACCCTGGGCAGGCACGGGGGGACCTCCGGGCAACCGTGACAGCACCACCACCACAGCACTCGCAAGGGCGCCCGCGCCGTGGGGAGCGCGGCGCCCGCTCCGCCCGCGCACCAGGTTGTTCTTGGTCTTGGCCACGTTGGGGTCGTCGGGCCCCAGCTTCGTCTGGTAGATCTCGAGGGCCCGCTGGTAGTAGTACTCCACCTCCTCGTACTTGCCCTGGTTCTGGCACAGCAGCGCCAGGTTGTTCAGCTGCTTGGCCACGTCGGGGTGGTCCTTTCCCAAAACCTGAGGACAGGAAGGGCCCTTAGGACACAGGCCCCTCGTCGGCCCGTGAAGGCGCCTCCCCCTGGGGCTGCGGTCCTGAAATGGCTCCCTAAGCCCAGCGACCCTAAAGGCGACTCGGCCACAAGGTGCTGGACCCCTAGTTTCCCCCCGGAAGGGGCTGACTTCCTTTACGTCCTTTAACGTCTTTAACTCTCCTGACACTGCTACGTGGAAGGATCGTCACTGCGCACGTTCTGAGGCGGCAGCTGGCCTTTGAGAGGCGACCTGACCGCTCATCGGAAGAGCCCAGCGCCAGCCGGCCCGGCCTGGCTCCCTCCTGCACACATGGGCCTCCCAAGGAGGCCCCAGGCTTGCGCTTGGCCCAGGGCCTCTGGCGCCCCCAAAGCACATCCTTCACATGCCAGCCCCCCCACAAGGCCCCTGGACCTCGCCCCTCTACCCCACGACAGCCAACCCTCCAGCCCCTCCTGAGGCCCCTCAGCCGGGACCCCTCCCCCCCGGCCGGGGCCCACAGGCACCTGGCTAGGTTCCTGCTCTCGCCGCGACTGGCACCCCCTGAAACCACCTCGTCTACCTCGTTTATTACCGGCTCTCACCCCTCACATGGGGCCCTAGGGCACAGATCCCTCCTCCCCAACGCAGCCCCCGACAGGGGACACTGCTGACCGCTCCCCGGCACCTTCAACCAGAGACCTGTCCTCTCAACTCTGCGCCTTCGCCTGCGGCCCCCAGGAGGCGTGACCTCCCCGTGCCCCTCCTCTCCTTGTGGGAAACTGGGACCCCAGGCACTGCAGGCTCCGTGGGAAGCCCACCCAGCGCCCCAGCCTCGCCCTGGAGGAGCTGGCTCCCAACCCCCCGCTCTGTCCAATGCACTGAGCTCTGGGAAGGGACTGTGCCTCTGATTTTAAGTCACCAACTCCAACCAAGCAGGGCCCCCGAGTCCTCAGCAAACGCTTCCTGAGTGAATGAGAGAGCAAACCCACGTGACTGGGCCAGGCCGCCCAGGGACACTTCACTCCACCCTGTGCCCCCGATTTCAACTCCAGCCCCCGCCACGGGCCGCCTTGTCTCGTAGGGCTCATGTGCCGATGGCGGCGCTGGGGTCTCGCCTGCAGGTGTGAGGGCGAGCCCCGCTTCACTCCCCTGCCCGTCCTGGCCACACCGCTCAAAATTAAATGATTTACTCTCTCAGTGTCGCTGGTACGCAGTCACATAAAACACCAAGTTAAAAGAGCACCCTCGGGCCCCGGCTGGTGTGGCTCGGGGCTGAGCGCCGGCCTGCGAACCAAAGGGTCGCCGCTTCGATTCCCAGTCGGGGCGCAGGCCGGGGCTACGGGCCAGGCCCCCAGTGGGGAGCGCCCAAGAGGCAGCCCCACATCAATGTCTCTCTCCCTTTTTCCCTCCCTTCTCCTCTCTCTAAAAGTAAATGAATGAGATCTTTAAAAAAAAACCCTGGGCCCTCGGTCACCCACGGCACAGACTGGCGCCCAGCTGCAGCCACAGCAAGAGCTGCTGGGACGGCCGGGCGCAACCTGGGGCAGCTGGTGGGGAGCAGCCGCGCGTGCCTTCACCGGGAGCTGAGGTCCTCTTCAGGTGTGAAAACAACTACTTCATTTTTAAAGCTTGTGAAGCACATTTGGTGACTTTATTCTCTTCCTGGCAGGCACACACCCAGCTGTCCAACAAGCCTCCGGTCCTGAGAAAGCTCCCCTTCCCTGTCACCTCCAGGCCTGCAGGGGGGCACGCAGATGCGCGATGCGCCCCCAGTGCCCACCCGCTGGCATGACCGCCTGCGGTCCCCGGGGACCGTCCACCTTACGGAAGAGGTTACGTCCCGTGAACAGTCAGGGCGATGCAGCAGCTTCTCAAAACGTACACCCGAGCGACCAAAGGCGCCAAGGGCACCGCCTTCCGAGCGCCGCCCACCTTCTCTCTGATCTCCAGGGCTCTCTTACACAGCGGCTCCGCCTCCTTGTACTTCCCCCTCTTGCCGTAAAGCACCGCGAGGTTGTTCAGCGTCGCCGCCACCTGCAACACAGGGCGCCGTGCAGAGGGTGAGGGCCCACCAGGGCGGCTCGGGCTGGTTGGGGACATGAGCCCGCCAGGGCCGGGGGGGCTGCACCGGAGCCGATCGCACAGAGGGCTCTGTGGGGCTGGAATTAAATCAACGGGATCTTGATTTCTTAAGTTTCACTGGAAACCACAAAGCCAACCAAAACAGATCTGTGTGCAAATCTGACCAGATTTTAACAGAAAAGGCAATGTAAAATCTTTAGAAGGAAACCCACGGAAGTGCATGCGATTGGGCTTAGGATCAAGAACTGCAGGTGGGCTCCCCCTGACCGCGCCTGGCGGCTGCGCCTGGCGGCTCCCGCAGGGCCTACCTGCGCCATCTAGTGGACAGGCAGCTCTGAAACCTCCCCTGTTGAGTTTAATAGGACAACTTTAATAGCCAAAAAATACTAGGGAGAATGGAATACGGAAGAGGAGCGAGAGGACCGATGCACACACCGCAGGGTGATCTTTGCCCAGGGTTTTTTCGCGGATGGCCAAGGCGTCGTTCAGTAGATTCGCTGCATCTTTGTACTTATTCTGGTCCCTGGAACAAAACACATCGGAATGTTTTCCGTCTGCCGGGCGACACCGGCGGCCCCACGCCCTCTGGGCCGTGCCTGGCCCTCCGAGCAGGTACTGTCACCGCCCCGCTCCCCGTGTGAGGGAAGAAGCGGAGGCTCAGGAAAATTAAGGCCACACCCTCCGCCCCGTGGCCACGGAGCAGAGGGAGGAGCGGAGGCCGCTCGGGAGCAGGGGTTCCGCGTTCACCCCAGGCCCCCAGGAACCAGCCTGCAGTCTTACGCAGGCTGGGGTCTCAGGACTCTTGCGTTGAACTGGAATCACCAAAGCAACGGAGGACAAGGAAGCAGGCGACAGACCCCACGCAACCGCCGAGCAAGCCAGTCCTGCCGCCCGTCAGCCGTCCCTCCCGGGTCCCGCTCCCCGGACCTGCTCCAGCTCAGGGGAGTCGGGCTACAGCATGAGCAGGCAGGGGCTCTGGGGCCACGGGGTGACTGACCCCACCCGACGCGCATGCCAGGGCTTGCACGTCAGGGAGCGGGCTAAGGGGGTCCCCAAAGACGACCTGGACCCCAGCCTCAGGGACGCAGCACGCGGGCCTGAGAGAGGCGGGGACATGGGGTTGGGGCGCACCAGGGCCAAGTGGGACCCTGGCTTCTGGGAGGAGAGGACGCTCCCAGACAGGGGAAGGCTCCTCCGGACAAAGACCCCCGGGGCAGAGCCTTGTGGGGACAGCCACGAGCCTGGTCTGGCCAGGGCGCAGGGCACGTGCGGCCGCCCTGGAGCGGGGAGCGGGCAGGTCCCCGCGCGCCCGAGCCTGCCGAGGGCTCTCTCGGTGAGCCCGGGCTGTTTGCGAAGCGAGAGGCAAGGCCAGAAGGCGGCTCAGGCAGGTTCGCGCAGGTGCCCGTGAGGAGCCGGGCCAACAGGAAGAGCCACTCGCCTGTACACCAGGGCCAGGATGTTGAGCATGGTGGCCACGTCCGGGTGGTCGTGGCCGGACGTCTTCTCCAGGTCTTCGAGCGCCTGCTTGCAGAGCGGCACGGCCACCTCGTAGCGGCCCTGCGAGGCGTACTGGATGACCAGGTTGTGCAGGGTGCGCAGCCGCGCGGGGATCTCGTAGCCCCCCTGCTGGGCAGCGGCCGCGGCGCTGCTGTGCTGCTGCTGGACTGGAGAGACAGGCCCCCTCAGAGCGCACGGCTGCGGCCGGGCGGCCGACCCCCGCGTGCTCCCCCGGCCCCGCTCCCGGGCGGCCAGGGCCCAGCCACGCCAGCCCGTCCGGCACTGCCCCGGCAGGCTGGGCCCACCCGTCACCGTCGGAGGGGGCTCCCTCGCGCCCCCCACGCCCCCCCAGGGCAGGAGGCTGCTCTGGGCGCCAGGGAAATGAGCCCCGCCTCCCTCGCCCGGGAGAGCCCGGGCCCCTGGGGCTGCCCCCCGGCTGCCCCCCGCGCTGCGCCCGGGGCCGGGGGAGGCGCCGCGGGCGGGGGGCCGGCCCCACTCACTGCCTTGGCCGGGGTCGTCGTCGTCGTTCGGGAACAGGTCGTCCAGGGGCTCCTTGGTGGGGTCGCTGTCTCTGTCCTCCTGGAAGCCAACCAGCGCGCCCTCAGTCCCGCCAGCCCGAGAACCCCGCGCGGCAGCCCCTCGGCGGAGGCTTCCTCGCACCGGAAACCCTGCGGCCCTGGCCGCTCCGGGGGCCGGGGGCGGGCCCGTCCGCGCCAGGGCCCACCCAGGAACCGAGCCGCGGGAGCACAAGCGCGGCAACAGACCGCTGTCTCCCTCCCCAAAACCAAGGGGAAACAAAACAGAAACCCTTTTACACCATAGAAAATACGGCCCGTTTTGGAGAACAGATACAGGGTTACCCACAACCTGACTCCCCCGTCGACTCAGCAGAGCCAGGAGCACCTTGCTCGACTAGAACTCAGCCCTGGACACGCGGGCCGGGCCGCCGGACGGAGGGGCGGCCTCCCCGGGCCTCGGACTCCCCACCTGGGCTCCAAGGGCGTCCAGCCAGAGCGGGGGAGCCCTCGCCCGAATTTTTACTTGAAAGCCATGGAAATGGCAATGTCCACGCACCCGCCGCCCTGAGGCCTGGAGCCCGGCCCGTGAGCTGGAGTGGGGGACGGCCAGCCCCCCGCGGGGCCGGGAACAGCGCTGCTGCGCGACGGGAGCCTGGCCCGGGCCCCCGGGAGAACGTCCCGCGCTCCGGCAGCAGCGCGGGGGCGGGCGTGCCCCGCACGGCCAGGGCCAGGACCGCCCTTGTCACACGCCCTGAAGGGGAGGCCTCTCTTCTCCAAGCTCCACGCGTCCAGAACAAAAGGCCCCAGGCCTGGCTCTGCGGGCTCCGCCTGCCCTGCCTGTGCTGCCCGGTGCCAAGGCCCTGGCGTCGCCCCCGGTCACCCGTCCCCACAGCCCAGGCAGCAGTGCCTCTCAAATCAGAGCGGTCAGTTGCTCCTGACCTAGAGGCGCAAGGGAGAGGCACAGTGAGCCTCACAAAGCGGGGTGCCGCGGGCTGCGCGCCCACACCCTGCGCCGAGTCCCCGCTGCCAGCGCGACGCTGTTTGGAGACAGGTCTCCGGAGGGGCCTGGGCCGGCGCCCTAACGAGAAGGGGCGCCAGAGGGCGTCCCCTCCGCCCGCCCCACGCGAGGACGCCAAGGGGGGGCTGTGTGCCGGCCGGCGGGCGGTCCTCCGCAGAAACCGGCTGCACGGGCGCCCTGGCCTTGCGCCCCCGCGGCATCGTCGCAGCCGCCGAGTTGACGGGGTGGGGGCGGGGGGGCCTGCGAGGAGGTGTGAACTGAGACGCAAAGCGGAGCTCACTGGCCCCCGGCGACGGGGCGACCGCAGCCGGCACCGGCACCGGCACCGGCACCGTGTGGGCTCTGCACACTGGAGGCTCCAACACAACATGGGCCCCAGGCCCGGCCCCTCGAGCAGAACGGGCCCCAGCGGAGGGCGGCGCCCGAACCTCGGGGGCCGCTCAGTGAGCGACAGCTCCTGCCGCCGGCGCACTTGTGCGTCGAAGGACGGCGCTGCTGGGCCTGAGGCTCCGCTGTCTCCAGGAGCCACCCGCGTCCTGAGGGGCACAGCCCACGGTCGCCTGCGACAGCGGTTGCGCGCGCTGAGATGTGCTGCAGGGACGTAAGACGCGGGATCGGGGAAACGGGCAAAGGACCTGGGGGGAGTCTCTTCACTATCTTGTCAACTTTTCTGTGAATCTAAAATTTGAAAGGTTATGTTTTTAAAGTTAACTGAACCAGAAATAAATAGCGGGTGAAAAATAATCAAGGCTGGGATGAGCAGCCAGAGAACGCCAACAGGAACGAGAGGAGACCGAGACCCGGCAGGACGCCTCACACTCCCAGAGCCGGAGGGAAGGCTGGCCGGGGGGCCGGTAGCGAGGCCGCAAGGGAGCCAGGCAAGGGCCCCCCAGGGAGGCGAGGCCCAGGGTGCCCTGCGCCCCAGAGCCAGGCCTGCCCCCGGGCCGCAGGTGACGGGATGCGGCAGCCTGGCCGGCGGGGACGCCCGAGGAGGGGCCGCCTGCAGTGGCCCTTCTGTTTACAGACTATTTCTACGTCCCTGACAGCTGCTGCAGAACACACACGTGAAAAGAACACAGCGAGGAGACCGTCTGTGACCTGCCCAGGGCCGCAACCGGGACCCTGCTCGGGCGAGGCACCCCGGCTGCTGCGCGAGGCCACCGGCCGGCGTCCCAGGGGGCTGTCCCCACCGCGCGCCCACAGGGCCACTCACGGAGGGAGAGATGTCGTCGTCGTATTTCTTCAGCTGGTTCATGAACTCCAGGTGCTTCTTCTCCTCCTCCAGCTGCGCCACCGCCTGCTCGCTCTTCTGCAGCTTCTGCTGCGTCCCTGCCAGCTCGTCCCGCAGCCACTGGTTCTCCTGGCAGAGGCGGCGGACCTGTGCGCGCAGCTTCTGCTTCTCCGACTCCACGGCGTTCAGGTGGTTGGACAGCGCCATCATGACCTGCGGGCGGACAGCACAGCCTGCGGCCGCCCATGGACACACACACGCACGCACGCACCCGTGGCAGCACCGCACCGCGTGCCATCTACCCCACGCCCACCCGCCCTTGCCGGCTACCGCGAGGACGTAACTTGCTCACAACAGCGGCAGGGAACGGGCGCGTGTGGCTCGTGGGGGTGCATCTCGACGGGCCTCGCAGGGGCCACCTGCCGCCTTCAGATGATGCCGTCCTTCCTACTTCCCGTCACGGCGGCTCCCTGCCACCCAGCCCCTCGTCCACTCGTGAACGCGCGCGCACAGGCCACTCTGCGAGGGCAGGGGCGGCACGGGGGCAGGCCGCTCGCTGAGGAGCCTCAGCATCCACCCCCGGGGTCGAGGGCTCCGAGGCTTCCGGCGCACCCGCCTGGCCTCCTCCTCCTCCTCCTCCTCCCCCTGTTACAGCTGAACCTCCAGGAGATGGGGCTTTTTCTTCCTTTCTCGACCCTAACATGTGCCAAACTGAAGAGGACGTTCTTATCTATCCCTGTAGCTTTCAGCAACAGAACATGCAAACTCGCAGATCCACAGGGATGGAACGAAGGGATGGAACGAAGGGGCCAAACAAAGCGGCCATGCTGACTGGTGCCCAGAACAGGGTCAGGGCGAACCCGACATGCGGGTGCGGCCGCAGCCGCTCTGGCGCGGACCGAGCTCCCCTCTGAACGCAGTCCGCGGCTGCTGCGCTCACTCCCTCCGAGAGAGAACTAAGGAAGGGAAGAGCCGGTTTTGGGTGCATTTAACTTCACCGGCGACTTGTTGGCAGAGCCAAAAGACACAGGGCGAGGGGGACACGCAGGGATGCCCGCACTCGACCTGCAGGTCAGCCGACGGGAACAGAGGGTCAGCGGGACCTGCACCGCAGCCTGCGCCCGGGCTGCCGAGTACTCCAGCTGCTGACCGACGCCGCTGTCCCTGCCTCCTAGAGCCTCAGGACCCGGCACTGCAGCGGGTGGGACTGGGCGGCAGGGCCCCGCGCCCCCAGCACGGCCTGAGCACCGCGTGCACGGGCAGGAAGTGGAGGGAGGCAGCGTGCGCACCTGCGGTCCCTCCCCTGTCCCAGGATGGGCTGCCGGGCACAGAGGCACCCAGTCTCAGCCCAGGACGCTGCCCTGGGGTTGCCGTGCAGCCAGACCCTGGCTGGGCAGCTCGCCCTGCTATCTGCTGTGCCCGCTCGCTGCCATCGTAGCCACTGTTCATGTTTTCTGACGTGCGCAGCCCAGTCCCACCCCCAGGACGCACACGTTGGTTGTCTGAAAGTTTAGACGTGCCCCAACCGACCGTCCCTTGCAGAACAGGCACGACCCGCACACCGTGACCGACCGCCTGCCGCGGCTCAGTCGGCGCCTCCCCTCTGGTCTCAGCTACGCGGCGCAGGGAGCGGAGCCCGCGCTCCCCCCGCCCCGCACCCCCCACACCTACCTGTGCCTCGCTCAGGCCGAGCTCCAGCATCTCCAGGGACTTCCGGATCATGTTCGACTTCTCCTCCACCAGGTTACTCTCCTCATCTTTCTTCAGACACTTCAGTGTCTCCAGCAAACTTTGCAAGATGGAATTGTGCTCATTCTTCAGAGCCTCCAGCCCCTGGATCACCTGCTTGGTCTTGGAAATGATCTCGTCCTGCGTGAGCTTCTCCAGCCTGTCCTCCTTCGCGTGCACCATGGTGGACATGCTGTCATGCATCCTGCAACAGCACAGAGGCGGGCATCTCGCGGCAAGGCCCACTCGGGTCGCGTCTACACTAAAGGGCGTGGGCAAGCACTTCTAAAGTGACACATGTAGGCGAATAACCACATGTGCGTTCCACTTATTACCTTGGCAAACTATATACCTTTTCCGTTTTTCCTTTGCAGACCAACTTAATTATTTTTCTGGCTTAGGTCTGAGCTGTTTCATGGGAAGAATGACGGGAATTGAAAGTAAGGCCAGAGGTGAAAAGCAACGCGACTCCCAAACAGCACTTCCAAAGGCACAGCCTCCGTGAAGCCGCCTGTCTCTGGAAGTTTACAGGCTGTGCCTTTGCTGGGTGACATGCAGGAGGGGCAGTGCCTTCTTGGCAGCCCGTTCACAGACAGCGCCCTAAGACGTGGTCCCAGGAGCGGCCCGCACAGGGATGCGGGGACAACCCAAGGCGCGGGAGGAGGACCAGAGAGGCTGAACCTCACGGGGGCAGGGGTGACAGGAGCCGACGCCTGGAGCCAGAGAGACAGGAGAACAGGGGCCCAGCGCGTCCAGCCGGCAGACCAGCCCAGGGCGGCGGTGGGGACAGGGAGAAGGGAAGGGCCACACGAGGCTCGGTCAGCAAAACAGGGCGCCTGCTGGGGCGAGCGGCCGGCCCCCCGTGGCCTTCCGCGCTGCGGGCGGTCCGGCGGCCAGCCTGAGGCCGCCCAGGCGGCTGCCTGCAGCGCGTGACCACACCCGAGCCGGGGCCCAGCTTCCCCTGGAACATGGGCTCTGCTCCCGTGGCGGGGGCTGCGCGCTGCCTGCCGTGAGCTCAGGAGAGCAGGGCCCCAGGCATCCTGTTCCGCACGACACCGTGGCTGTCACACGGTCACTGCCGAGCGCACTGTGCGCCGACCGGAGAACCAGCGCCCAAGGAGCGGGACGCAGCACCCGGAGGCCCAGTGCGGGTCTGAGCACGCCGAGGGCGCCCGGGAGAGGGGGGACTCCGGGCTGCGGCCCCAGGGGAAGGAGGCAATGACCCCTCTGCCGGCGGAGCGCGGAGCACGCGTGTCCCGCGTCCCAGGGATGCCGACTCGACCCTTCCCTCCCCAAGCAGACAGGGCAGGGCCTCCTGGGTGGACTTGGGCCAGGGCCCCACCAGCAGAGACCTGCAGGCCAGGAGGACCGGGCGCATCAGGCATCCCGTGCACCATGAGCTGATGGCACGGACAGGACGGCCCAGCGGAGGACAGCGGGCACTCGCTCTGCAAGGGGACACCCGCCGAAGGGGCGGCGCGGCCGAGTCGGCGGTGGCGAGTGCCCACTGCTCCTGAGCAGCGGCCACCGGGCTGTGGGGGCCGGCCCAGGGACAAGCCGGGAGGAGAGGGGAGCGAGGTCGCAGGACTCCCACATGGGGACGGCCGCGGGCCTCGGGGACAAGGCACGCGCGGCACTGCCCCTCGGGCCTGGCCTGAGCAAGGCGCACGCCGCCAGCCGCTCCTCGGGCCTTTTCCCAGGACAGTGAACCTGGGGCGATGGCAAGGGCAGCCGCCAGGCCTCAGGAGGTGACAGCAACTCGGTGCTGAGACCGTCCTGGAGAGGCAACGCTCTGGGCGAGCGCGGGCCCTCAGTCACAGCTACGGGGAGAGGGGCGCGTCCTGTCCGGGTGTGAGGAGGGTCAGCGCAGTTCCAGCGGTGGACAGAGGGTGGGACTTTTTCTTTTTTTTAAGATTTTATTTATTTATTTTTAGAGAGAGAGGAAGGGTGGGAGGGAAACATCCCTGTGTGGCTGCCTCTCGCGTGCCCCCCACTGGGGACCTGGCCCGCAACCCCGTCCGGTGCCCTGACTGGGAAGTGAACCAGCCACCCTGAGGCTCGCAGGCCGGCCCTCAGTCCCCTGCACCACACTCGCCAGGACGGGCAGTTCTGTCTATGAAGAGAGAAAAGTGGGGAGGCACAGAGGGTTTAAACAGCAGTAGGAAAACCATAAAAAGTAGGACTTCGGTGCAGAAAAAAAAAATCAGAGCAAAACAAGAAAGACGATCACTTTGAGGACATGCCTCAATGAGGCAAATGAGTTTAAAGAAACCCATTTTGGTTCCTTCAAGACTCCGGACCACTCTCACCACAGACGAGAATCACAAAATAAATGTCACCGGGGTGCACACAACCGAAAACAAGAGCTGCATGTGCCCTGGCCAGGCAGCTCAGCTGGTGAGAGTGTTGTCCTGATGCATCAAGGTTGCGGGTTCGATCCCAATCAGGGCACATACGAAAATCAACCAGTGAGTATATATAAGTGGAACCACAAATCATTGTTTCTTTGCCCCCTCCCCTCTCTATAAATAAATAAATAAATAAATAACCACCACCTGAGGCGGTTTTGTTTACCTTCCTCTTACATTAAAAACAGTGCAAAGGCAACCGGCTACTTGGAAAAAAGCTGCCCTCATACCTACCTTATACACTAAAATAAACTCCATATCAATCAAAGAATTAAATGTTAAAAACACACACAAGAAACTAGAAGAAAATTCAGGCGTCTATATGCATATAGGTGGAGGAAATTAGTGGTCTACAAATAAAATGGCAGGAAACAAAGAGACCGATGTGTCTACTTACAATAGGCCACTTCTGAAGTCCGGGGCAGAAACGAGACACACCTCAGGGGCGCACTCGGCAGCCCGGCCCAGCGACGAGCCGGCCAGCGCCCCGGCCCGGCCCGGGCCACCGGCCCTGCGGGCAGCCGGCGGGCACCCAGCGAGCAGGCGCCGCGCTCTGGAGCCGGCCTCTGACCTCCATCCCCCGCGCCTCTCGCCGGCCGCGCGTCCGACTTCTCGGGGCCCCGGGGTCCCCACTCACCCGGTGGTGGGGAACTGCCTGGCACAGCTCCAGACACACTCCCCCCGGGACCCGACCCCCCCCCCCGGCCCCAGGTCACGCTGACTGACCCAGGCAAACTGCCCGTCACGCTTCCACTTCAAACCACAACACGAAGGGACCTCTGCGGCCCCGCTGCTGGCTCGTGCAAGCGAGGGCCGGCCGCACACGCGGGCGGCGCGTGACAGGGAGCGGGACAGGCCCAGCGCCGGAAACACGCTTCCGGGTGGCTCAGAAGCCTGGGCGCCGTCCCACAGACCAAAGGGTCGCCGGTGCGACTCCCGGGCAGGACACAGGCCTGGGCTGCGGGCTCCATCCCCGGTCAGGGCACGAGCGAGAGACAACGATCGCTGTCTCCCCCCCTCCCCCTCTAAACATGAATGTCTTTCAAACAGAAGCCTGCGCACACCATCCTCACAGCCATCAGTGCCCGAGCCCGTGCCCTCAGCCTGACTCGGGCCAACGGGCCAGGCGGGCGGCCGGGGAAGACGGCGAGACGCCCCCACCGCCAGGCCCACGCCCTCCCGCACTGCGGCTGCGCCGCACGCCAGCCTGGGCCACTGCCCTCCCCCTGCACGGCGTGGGGGGGGCGGCGACTGCGAGGGGCTGTCGGCTCCCTCCCCCCGGAACAGGCACAGAACCCGCACCGCCCCCCACCCCCCACCCCGCTCGGCACCCCTGACTCAGGGACCCCGCCCCCGTGCCTGCGCCCCGGGCGTGCGGCGCACCGTCACAGGAAGGGAGTGGGAACCCGCACCAGCCCGGCCAACACCTGAGGCTCCGCCCCTCGCACGCCCCGCGGGCCTTTTCTAAGACAGGGAGTCACAGCAGCTCCACCTAACACATGCACGCGCACACACACACACACACGCGCGGGCTCCCAAATGGAGGAGGCAAAGAAACAAGGCCCAAATGAAAGAACAGAACAAAACCCCAGAAAACGAGCTAAACGAAGTGGAGACAACCAGCCTATCAGACGCAGAGTTCAAAGCACCGGTGATCAGGATGCTCAAAGAACTCACCGAGCACGGCACCAACATAAGGGAAGAGATGACAACTACACTAAGTGAAATAAAGAAAAATCCATAGGGAACCATCCGTGGAGGGGAGGAAGCCAAAGATCAAATCAATGATTTGGAACACGAGGACGGAAAACGCTTTCAGTCAGACCAGCAGGGAGAAATAAGAATTCAAAAAAACGAAGAGAAGGACAACTTTAAACACACCAATGTCCAGATCTTAAAGGCGCCAGAATGAGAAAAGGATAGGCAAGAAATTGACTATTTGAAAAATAATGAAAAGAAAAATTCCCTCATTTGGTAAGGGAAATAGACATGCAAGTCCAGGAAGCACAGAGAGTCCCAAACAAGATGGACACGAAGAGGCCACGCCAAGACACATCACAACTACAATGCCAAAGATTAAAGATAAAGAGAGAATCTTAAAAGCAGCAAGAGAAAAGCAGAGAGTTCCCTACAAAGGAGTTCCCAAAAGACTGTCAATTGATTTCTCAAAGAAACTGTGCAGGCAAGAAGGGGCTAGAAAGAAGTGTTCAAGGTGGCGAACAGCAAGGACCTACAACCAAGATCACTCTACCCAGCAACACTATCATTTAGAACCGAAGGGCAGATAAAAGTGCTTCCCAGACAAAGTAAAGTTAAAGGAGGTCACCAGCACTTATTATATGAAATGTTAATTAAGAAAAAGATCAAAACTATGAACAGTAAAATGACAACAAACTCACAACCATCAACAACTGAATCAAAAAAAAAACCAAAACTAACGAGCACCCAGAAGAGGAACAGGACCACGGAAGCGGAGGTCACACGGCGGTCACCAGCTGCGGGGGGCGGAGCAGGGTGGGGGGGGACGGGGAGGGGGAGGCGCAGGGGTTACGGAGCACAAGTTGGCGGGTGCAGCACAGGTGGGGGAGGCTCAGGACAGCAGAGGAAACGGAGAAGCCAAAGGGTGTCCAAGCACAACCCACGGACGGGAACTAAGGTGGGGAACGTGGCGGGGGCAGGGGGGGTGGGGGTTGCAGGGCGGAGGGGGACCAAAGGGGAAACGTCGGGACAACTGTAACAGCATAACTCATAATTTTTTAAAAACTTACAAATGTTCCAAACATAAAATGGTGGTAAG